TTTTTTGAGACCGAGTTTCACTCTTGTTGCCCAGGCTGGAGTGCATTGGCATGATCTCGGCTCATTGTAACCTCCGACTCTCAGGTTCAAGCGATTCTCCTCAGCCTCCCGAGTTGCTGGGATTACAGGCATGAACCACCATGCCCAGCTAATTTTGTATTTTCAGTAGAGACGGGGTTTCTCCATGTTGGTCAGGCAGGTCTCGAACTCCCAACCTCAGGTCATCTGCCCGCCTCGGCCTCCCAAACTGCTGGGAGTACAGGCATGAGCCACCATGCCCAGCCTGTTTTCATTTATTTATTTTTGAGACAGGGTCTCTCGCTCTGTTGCCCAGGCTGGAGTGTAATGGTGCAATCATGACTCACTGCAGCTGCGGCCTCCTGGGCTCAAGTGATCCCCCTGCCTCAGCCTACTGAGCAGCAGGGACTACAGGCATGTGCCAGTACATCCAACTAATTTTTAAGTTTTTGTAGAGACGAAGTCTTGCTGTTTCTTGCCTAAGCTGGTCTTGAACTCCTGGCTTCAAGAGATCCTCCTGTCTTAGCCTCCCAAAGTGTTAGGATTGTAGGTGTGAGCCACTAAGCCCCAGCTTATCACACATTTTAGAATATCTATAAAATCAATTCCTCCTTATTCATGCTAAACTTTTACATGTGTGAATCTCTGAATCAATTCATCCTCTTTTTGGATGAATTACAGCAATTACACTGAATAGAATCATTTTTCTCTCACAACTACACTCAGAAATTTTCTTCTATCACTAACCTGGCTTTGGCATCATGACTCTCTCTTCTATAATGGCAGTCTCAACTCAAGAAACTGGTTTGGACCACCTATCTTTTTTTTTTTTTTTTTTTTTGAGATTAAGTCTCGCTCTGTCACCCAGGCTGGAGTGCAATGGCGCAATCTTGGCTCACTGTAACCTCCATCTCCCAGGTTCAAGTGATTCTCCTGCCTCAGCCTCCTGAGTAGCTGGAATTACAGACAGGTACCACCACACCCAGCTATCTGCATCTTTAGTAGAGACAGGGTTTCACCATGTTGGTCAGGCTGGTCTGTAACTCCTGACCTCGTGATTCGTCCGCCTCAGCCTACCAAAGTGCTGGGATTACAGGTGCAAGCCACCATGCCCAGCCTGGACCACTTATCTTTTATGATTATTATACCACAGATCCCTTCCATTAGCATAGATAACTGAATGCTGACTGAGGCATGGTCATAAAATAACCGGATTGATTTGACAATTACTTTGTAATGAAAGCAAGAGTCAATATATGCTTACTAACACACAATCAGCATGTTGCTAAAAATAAGTTGTTTGATGCTAGGATATCCATTTCTACACAGATGTGACTTCTACTTGCAAATATTATAACATGCAAATTTTGTTTATTTTTCATTCAAGAGAGAAAAGTGATCCTGCTTAATTATTTAATATTAAATTACAATTTAATCATGCCAAGTACAGAATGACAGTGGGAATTTAGTCATTCAAATATCTGCCAATATCATTAGATCTAACACTGATAACTTTTGGTAAGCTTTTAACATACACTTACTATAGCTGAATAAAAATAAAGACCCTGTTTTTAAAACTAGCATAATCAAAAAATAAATTCTTTGTGGTATAACTGCCTATAGTCTATAAATTTTATTACTTCTCAGGTCTCTGTGACGTTAATGGTGAATGTTTTCTTATTTTTCAGGGCTTAAATCTATTTTCATGTCTTGGAAATGAAGATATATTTCTCTCTTAAAAAAAAAAAAAGCCAGCTGGGCACGGTGGCTCAGGCCTGTAATCCCAGCACTTTGGGAGGCTGAGGCGGGTGGACCACGAGGTCAGGAAATCGAGACCATCCTGGCTAACATGGTGAAACCCTATCTCTACTAAAAATACAAATATTAGCCAGATCCCAGCTACTCAGGAGGCTGAGGCAGGAGAATGGCGTGAACCCGGGAGGTGGAGCTTGCAGTGAGCCGAGATCGTGCCACTGCACTCCAGCCTGGGCGACAGAGCGAGACTGTTTCAAAAGAACAAAAAAAAAAAGCCGATGAAATTCTTAACAGCATGTAGTCTCCAATTCAAATAGAAAATACTATAGAAAATGCTAACTTGAGTGGACCAGTTTTAATCAGCGCCAAATAATTCCAGTATAGAACTAATTTTAGAGAAAGTAAAGTATGTAAACAAAATGGTTTCTTTTGTACAATAACAACTTTTCTATTTTGAGAGCAGGTATCTAATTTGGTAACTTCACTTATTTTAATGATAGCAATGAAACAGGTAGTAAAGTAACAGATGTCACAAAATCCATGCATTTAAGCATAATCCACTTCCTCAAGTCTTCACTTTGAGTTTATTTATTCTTACTTTACAGGTAAGTCTAATAAACTTAGTAATCTGGTCTCCAAAATGAAAGCAGATCAGAAGGCACATTATGAAGGTAGAGAAGGGCTACTGCTACAGGCACACTTAAGCAAGCAGTAATAGAAATGGAAAAACGACTGTTAAAAAACAAAGACATGAAAACTAAAACGAGCACAGCAGAATGGAGCCATTTCGATTAGTCTATCAGACTATAATAAATAATGTTAATGATCATTTTGATACCAAATTAAAATACATGCATATACTATTTAAGAAGACAGTAATGCATATCAATTTTATGAAGATTTCCTTCAGAGATTATTCCAAAAAATTTTAGTGCTGAAAGAGGTTCAAGCTCTGCAGGAAACTGGGGTACCTAGAATGACTCATTCCCCAAATATTCAAGTTAGCCAGTTCTTATCAAATTAGCCATCTTTAGTCTCATACCAATAGTTCTAGAACGTAAATCTTGATGAACGGAGTTGAAGTTACATTTATAGTGCCATAAGTTTTAAATCTGTGTACTGTACTAAGAACAATGAATGAGAACTATATATTTAACATTTTTCTGAAATATACACAATTATTTATTCAAAAATGATAGTCAAATTTCTCTTATAGTTGAATTCATTAATGGAAGTCCTAGAAACATCATTATATAAAAACTGAATTAGAACTTCAAATATATGGCAATCATATATTCAGCCAAGTATTTGTTTTGGCAAGTTTTTAGTAAAGAACTAAGAGGCAAACAAAAGAATGCTAAGCAGTCAAACAGGTATCACAAAGTCCATGCACTTTACTGACAGAAAAGCCCCTTAGCTCTCTTTCAGTCTACTTACTCTTATTTTAGACACAATTCTAGCAAGCTTGGCAATCTGGTTTCTCAGTCCACAGCAGATTAGAAGCAGCAAATTAGGGGCCTATTGCAGGAGGCAGGCACACAAGACAGCGGCAAAAGTGACAGCTGATTATAAGGGAAGATAGAGAAACTGTGAAAAACAGACATAACTCAAAAAAGCACACCAATGTGAGGTCATGTTGTAAAGGGGTACCTGACATATATCTCAGTAGCCCCTGAGGATGAGTTTCTGTTTATCACCCCATGATAGAAACTGATATTCCTAAAGATGACAGAAAAAGTTAAATTATATTCTATATACTCTAGACAAAGTAGAGAAGTAGTGCATTTAGTTATTAAATTATTAAAATGGATTTTAGTTAGCTGAGAAGTTAACTTAGGCAAATTAATCACCTGTCTATGATGACAGATCAATGAATTGTTACTGAATTTTTTTCTATATTTTCTCTTCTAAAATATTTGTAGCTTTATTTTCTAATTAAATGTGAACTGCATAGCTATTTTCTTGTAAGTAGAATTGGAAAAATAAATCAATCTTTAGGCCTTGTGTGGTTGTCATTCTTAGTATAATATCTACTTTAGTTCAAACAATGATTTAGCCGAGCTATAACACACTCTTAGAGTATTTAACCTGTTTCTTTGGTTTGGGTATAGGAACAATATACTATGATTAAACCAAATCAGTTGAACTTTTACTCCCATATGATTTCTCATAATTTGTCAAAAAAGTTTCATATTTTACATTATTGATGGGAAGTGAAGAGTTAGTCACCAGAGTGAAATGATCTGTAAGGTCACATTCCACTGACTTACAATTTTGTGGAATGTATCAGGACTTGATTTTTTTAATGCTTTAACACTAAAAGCTTTATAACTTTTCTTATGTAAATCAGAATATTGCTATTATTTTAAGAAAACTGAGTTTTAAATGAACTTTCCTACCTGGAGGTAGACAAAGGGTAAAAATTCTGTCTTCAAGAGTGACCTAAATAGACTCTCACATGCATTCTTCCATTAAGTACTAGGTTTGTCCTGGTAAAACAAACTACAGAAACATCTGTATTAAAAACTATCAGGAAGATACTCCTGATAAGAATCATACTGTTAAAAATCATACTGTAAAACTTAAAAAGCACAATTGTAAGTTTTCCCTGCAATGTTTTATTTTTTTCCCCAGAGGGGTTCTTCTGTATATAGGTAGCAGCTTTTTTTTTTTGAGACGGAGTCTCGCTCTGTCGTCCAGGCTGGAGTGCAGTGACATGATCTCGGCTCACTGAAAGCTCTGCCTCCCAGGTTCATGCCATTCTCCTGCCTCAGCCTCCCGAGTAGCTGGGATTATAGGCGTCTGCCACCACGCCCGGCTAATTTTTTGTATTTTTAGTAGAGATGGGGTTTCACTATGTTGCCCAGGCTGGTTTTGAACTCCTGAGCTCAGGAAATCTGCCTGCCTCGGCCTCCCAAAGTGCTGGGATTACAGGCGTGAGCCACCACGCCCGGCCAGGGTGGCAGCTTTGAAAGCTAGTCAAAAGCCTGCTAAGGGAAGTAAAATATTCTTAGAAAAGTAACAAACAAGAAAACCTACTTATATTGCATTGGTCTGTTTTTAAATACTTCCTAAGGTATTCATGGCAAGAAGAGCAAAGTCCTAGACAGAGGTTCCTAGATTTTATTGGACATAAACATTATCTACGGCTCATTCCAAAATGACCAACTAAGAATCACTGGGAGTATGGTCTAAAATTTGCATTTTAAAAATAAGACTTTATTTTGATGTAGTTACCCCACTAATACAACCGAGAAACACTGACTTCAAATATTATGAGAGAAAATTACTCCAGGAATTTGTGCAGAGAAGATAATACTTTATCTAGAAAATATTTTAAATATTTTAAAAGATGAAAACTATACAAAAGAATAAATATTCAAATAAAGCTGCAAGATCTTAATGCCATAATTTCAATAAGTAGAGTTTTCACTGGATTATGTAACAAGTAGTGAATGAAACAGATCAGACTGAAAGACTGGAAATTCTTGATTAAAATTATTTAGTCTTTCAAAATTAAAAAGGTATCACCTTAGAGAGTACTGAATAAAACTGATACAATATTATGAAGATATTTCCCCCAAACTTTGTAGCTTTATTTTCTAATTAAGTGTGAATTGCATAGCTATTTCAACTGCATAGCTATTACAATTGTGTAATAAAAATAACATACAATAAAATAATTAAAAATTATTAAACTCTAAGTCTTTCCTGTGTAAGGTTATAGGTTGAGAGAGAGATTACCAAGTTTTTCCATAATTGCCTCTTCTAAATCCAAAGAAAAAGAAATCAGTAAACTAAATAAGCGATTTAAATAAGAAAGTAAACCCTAAGTATTATTGAAGAATTTAACAGTTATAACACATAAAGATTTTTAAAATTGAAACTTAGCTATTTCTAAGTAGTAAAGCAAGGCCCAACCTAAGGTATTGCTCCTAAGAGGTTAATTATAGATAAGTTCCAGGATTTTGGCAAAAAGGCAAAATCACTTATAGTACAATAATCTCTACTATTTATATAAAGCAGAATCAAGTTTTTTCTCAGGTTAAAAAGTAAATTTCCTTAGATTCCTGAAAGAAAAAAAATCCCCTTCGGTATAAGTAAATTTACTCACTAAAAGTGATAAGTTACAGGAATTTGAATGTGTTTCTTTACTCTAAAGACAATCTAGATTCATCATGCAATTTCCTTTCTAGGACAGCAACATAAATTGAGTTATTCCTACATTTCCCCCAATTAATGTCTATAGAACTATGTACTGCATAGGAGCTACAGGTCTCAAAACTGTATACGCTGAAAATAATTACTCTTTGAAAATGCAATCACAACACAAGACAGATGAGATTGGCCAATTTGAAAAGCAGTCTCTGTTAAGAGGTAGTTTGTAAATGAAATACTAAGGAGGCAAGGATGCTTTCCAGCAGGCTGACAGGATGTTTCCTGAATCTCATTAAGGTGGACAGGGCTAGAAAACAGCAGCATTGTGACCTGTTTGTGTTAATGGTACCCAATTATCCAAGGTAAAGTGATACAAGGAACATTTTTCTGCTTGCTAAATTGGGGGTAGGGCCTTGGAGTACAAGAATCCCACTTGGACATCATCACTTTCAATTGCAGAAAGAAAGGTGAAAGTGTAATTCTAAAAAACCGTACAATGTTTTTCTTTTAAAGATCACTAGGACATCTTAAAATTAACTACTAAATATACACACGAACAAGGAAACATAAGAAATGTCATAACCCATGCACTGTTGAAACTACTTTTAGTTCCAAACCCCAGCACACATCAATTGTATCAATTAATTTTTTTATTCAGAACCTGGATCTTTGTTTTAAGACTGGTATAAACAAAAATAAAATACAAACAACTTGTTATTAACATAATAGCTGCAGTTATTAACTGCAAGAATACAGTAAAAAGGAGTCATACTAAATGTTAATGTTCTTGCAACAGAATTTTCCCAATCACCTTATGGTAGCAAATTCTGGCAAGAAATGATAATTCATTTCTTATTAAAAATACTTAAAGAATTTCCAAGATTGATCAGTTGTGCCACAAATAAAACAGCAGTTTATTCAAAAGAGCCCTTACCTTTCTCTTATTTTCCTAAAAGATCTGCCATTTACAGGTAACTACTACTTTCAGATCAGTTATTCAAACCAGGGTTCTTCCTGTAAATCCACATCTTAGCTTTATATATAGTAAACTTACACTCATATTCCCTTTCCAGTCTTGAAGCTAAACACTTTTGTAAAAGGAACAATCTAAAATCACTTCATATGAATCTTGGTTCTTACTTTTCTTCTATCTCATTTTTATTTTCTTCTATTATTTGTTCTTCCTCCTCATCACCAAAAGTCTGTTCCTGCATGGTGGTAAAGGAGAGAGATCTAGCAGCCACTTCTGCAGCAAGGCCAGCAGTGAAGGTAAAATCCGGTGACAGCTGTAGCCGTGCCAGCCTCTGCTTAATGGAGGGCTGTAATGAGTCCCTGGGAGTTGGAGGGGCAGTGGTCAGACCACTTCCATCTGCTTGCAGTTCATCTTCACTCTCACACTGGTAACACATTCTTTCTTCTGCTTCTTGGGGGAAGACTTCATTTGAAGAATTATCTGTATTTTTACCTTCTAGAGCGTTTTCACATAAATACTCAGTCCTACTTATTTCATTGTCTGATGTGGTGGATTTACTACTTTCCTCTTCAGTATCATTTTTACTGACTTTTCCCATATCTGAATTCACTGATGGTTCTGAATTACTTATGGGTTCCACTGGGTCTACAGGAGACAAGGATTTCAACACGGCTTCAAATAAAAAAAAAAAAAGAAAAAAGAAAAAAAAATAACTAAGGACCTAGCAATGATTTAAACTTTTAATTCAAACTCTCAGTTTAAGTTTTTTCTTAAAAAGAACAATAAATAAATAAAAGCTAAATAAAACTTTCTAGTAAAATCAATGAAAATTTATAAATCCAGGAAACTTTGTAAGAGAGAAAATGCCTAAGAAATGAAATGAGATGGGGATTTGATGAAGGTTTTTAAGACACCTCACATATTATCTTATTTAAAATATTAAAGCAGTGGTTCTGAAAGTGTGTTCCCTGAACCAACATTATCATTTATCACCTAGGAATTTGTTAAAAATGCAAATTCTTGGGCCTGATCCCAGACCTCCTGAAATGGAAACTCTGGGAGTAGGGACCAGCTGTATTTTACAAGCCCTCATCTTGATTCTGATACACACTAAAGTTTGAGAACCACTGTATTAGGGAATGAGCAGCATGGTTTTCACTGATAATACGTCAGATAAAAGGCTTAAAGTAATCTAGATAATAATAATATCTTCAACATGTATACATGTATATTTACAAGTTAAAACAGCATGGAAAAAATGCAACACACAATTTAACTTACTTGCCAACCACCTCACAAGACCCTAATGAAAGTAAAGCCATAACTTCTACACATTTTGTAGTACCACGAAAAATATAAATGAAATAAAGTCTTCATTCAAGATCAACTATTGTACAAAATATAATACATAAATATAACATATATTCATACGGTAGAAGTTGTCCTTGCAAGGAAAATGCAGTTTTATTTAGCCCCTCTTGATGTTAGTAGGCAGTGGGTTGCTTGCTAGGCAGTCGCTCATCCCAGCATGAGGGGTTAGTACAATACAATATAGTATGAAGCATGACGGAAGGAAAAAAGTGCTTCTCGAAGAGCTGGCGTGTATTTAAAAAACGTTTTTGTAAAACGTGTCCACTTCCAGGAACCATCCCTAAGCTGCAGTAACTCCACTAGAGAAGCAGCAACAACAGAAAAAAAATGGCCACAGCAGGTTCCAGTGCAGACTTTCCCCCTCTAATTCCATGCGGACTTTACCCCTGTAGGCAGAGATGAAAACAGCTCTGGAAGATGTACTGAAATTTTTCATGGGAAAAGCATTCTATGGTATCAGCAGCTTTTTACTTATTTTCACAAACTAAAAAACAGCATTATGACCCTTTCCAATGTAAACTATATCAAAAGCACATACCTGAAAAACAGATACATTTCTCTCATTGATAAAATCTTTTCCCATAATGTCAATAGCATAACTTTAAAGCTATATGAAGAAAACACTAAACAATAAAAAAGGATACAAGTTTATATACAATGCTATTTTCAGTCTATGTACATTCTTAGTTTAAAAATCTGTTAGCTCTTAAAGGAAGCAACATATATTAGAAGTTGGTTGATATTCACAATTATTACTAATTAAATGGGGGGGATATAATCTGTGTAATGAGAGGATCAATTGACCAGTGTGTTAGAATTTAAGCCTCAAGGCAGGTAGGAGGCTTTACATTTTGTTTCTTGATCCGTGTGCTAGGGATACAGCAGAGACTCTAATGTATAACAAGTACTCAATAACTACTTGTTGAATGAGTAATTTGCTGAATGAATGCTGTGGGATAATAAGGCCCCTATTTAAGAAGACTATAATTTTGTTACAGAGACACACAAAACAAAACAAAACCTTGAACATATAAAAAACAATAGTGCCTAAAATTAATCTCTGATGTATGTAGGCTCAGTATATGAATGAACAGATTGCAGGAAATCAATCTGTTAATCATTTCCCTTCTCTGCTATATGCTTTGGGGCTCAAGACTTCCTTTATCTTTCATCACAATGTCCCTCTAGTACAAGGGTCTGTAGTGTTAGGAGAGGTGGTAGAGCTGGAGCACTCAGAGAAGAATTCATGGAGAAGGAGAGACTAGTAGAGAGGACAGCTTGGTGGAGAAGGCAGAATTTTTGGCAAAGGGGTAAGCGTGAATTTTTTTTTTTTTTTTTGAGAGAGTCTCACTCTGTCGCCCAGGCTGGAGTGCAGTGGCGCGATCTCAGCTCACGGCAACCTCCACCTCCCAGGTTCAGGTGATTTTCCTGCCTCAGCCTCCAGAGTAGCTGGGATTACAGGTGTGCGCTATCACACCTGGCTAATTTTTGTATTTTTGGTAGAGATGGGGTTTCTCCATGTTGGCCAGGCTGGTCTCTAACTCCTGACATCAAGTGATCCACCTACCTTGGCCTCCCAAAGTGTTGGAATTAGAGGCGTGAGCCACCGCACTTGGCCGGCATGAAATTTTTTCATGAATAAAAATAACAAATTTGTGAACTATAGTTTAATTTGATAAACATAAGAAGACACCTATAGTAAAAACAGTAGAAAATATAATTGGATGGGTGAATTCTTATGATGAAGAGACTTGAAAACAGGAAGAAGAGTTCAGATTCAATACAATAAGGGAGAAATCACTATAGGTTTTAAGATAGAGAGCCATCATCAATGCAGTGTTGGAGAAAAATCTGGAAAGAGTTTGCAAGATAGCTTAGAAGAAAAAGATACTGAAAATGGAAGTTAGCTAAGAGGCTATTTTAATGTACGAGGATAATCTAATGAGGACCTGGGCTATAAAGGGAGCCAATAGGAAGAAAGAGGAATGATAAAACTTAGAAACGTAGATCTGGACAGGGCAGAACATAGGGCTCCTGAGAGAAAAAAAAAAAAAAAGAGAACTGGAGGAACTTTCCAGAAGTATAGGTAATCTATATACTTCTAGTGAGGAGGGAAAAGGAAGGCAGTTGATTTTGAGGGTCCACACAGATACTCTAAAATAGAAGGGAAGTCGTACTCTACCTACTTAGAAATCCATAGGCATTAATTCAACTAAGAATTAGCTAGGTTGATATTGTCAAGTATTAAGCTTCCCCTGATTCCTTCCCCTGTCTCCCATGAATTTTGATTTAAGAAAAGAATGGTGAGAAACAGAAAGGAATTTAAGTCTTTTGCATCACCAGCTATCCCATTCTGCTGAAATCAGAGTATGGGGAGTGTGCCCACAGGCACCCCCCTCCCCTCCCATCTACTAAAGTGCTCAAACCACTTAAATAATGCTAATGATGTGGCTCACTGGTCTAGGTTTTAATTATTTTTTTTCTTTTCTTTTCTTTTGAGATGGAGTCTCCCTCTGTTGCCCAGGCTGGAGTGCAGTGGCATGATCTCGGCTCACTGAAACCTCCGCCTCCCGGGTTCAAGTGATTCTCCTGCCTCAGCCTCTCAAGTAGCTGGGACTACAGGCACGTGCCACCATGCCTGGTTAATTTTTGTATTTTTAGTAGAGACGGGGTTTCGCCATGTTGGCCAGGCTGGTCTTGAACTCCTGACCTCAAATGATCCACCCGCCTCAGCTTTCCAAAGTGCTAATATTACAGGCATGTGCTGCCACGCCTGGGCCACTTTTTTCAATGTGAACACAGTTATTAGTTTTGTGCTTCACTGAGGTATTTTAAAATATTTTAACATATGGAGAACAAAGTTGAGAATCTCAAATTCACTAAATTTGAAAATAACATTTAAAATATCCCAAATTATTCAACTCACTGTCCATTCTAAAACAAATTTACTAAAAAATTAAATAACCCATATAAAAGTGTGACTTGGTATCTCCAATATGGTTACATTCCTACTCTTTTATTAATCAGATTGATTTAGCATCTAGAAGAAAAAGTACTATGCATACTGGTGGACCCTTATAAAACCCCAAGAATTCTTCAGCTAAAACAACATTAATGGTTCAAGAAAGAGAGAGTCTCCTACACTGAAATAACCTGTTACTTTAAAGTCAGTGCTTACCATGATCACTAAATAGAAGTTGCTTCCATTTCTGCCTTTCTGCCTCTGAAGCTTTAAATCCCAGCACAGATTTTAATTCTTGGAGCACTCTCTTGGATTCTTCATGCTCACGCTTCTGTCTCTCTTTGTCTTCTTGAGACAAGTAATAAAAATCATCCTTTCTGAAATCACTATCAATATCTATATCATCTACATAAGCTTCTAATTCCTGAAAATGAATAGAAGAAAAAGCACTTTACTTGAAGCAGACAATTCTCTAGTGAGCATTCATTTACTTGCACTTACTTATCTCTGAGATTAAAAAAAAGGACTTGCATTTGGCACAGGTCATTAAAGCAGAGCTAAGAAAAGAAAAAAGTAAATATATACCTATGGATAAATTGAAATCTTCAAAAAAAACCTAACAGTTGATACTAGAAAGCACTGTGGATAAAAAAGTTTAACAACTTCAGTGGTTACTTTTCTACTCTGAGAACATACCATCCACTTAGTGTTACAGCCATTAGCTATGTCAAAACCAATCAAAATTAGAAGGGCTGGCAGTTTAGGGAGGTGGTCAGGCATGTTTGTTTTCTTGTGGTTCTTTTGGATTTCCCAGGAAGTTTGAACACTCTTCCTAGGATTAGGGAACACCCCACCTTATGGTCCTCCCTATCTCTAAGACAGAGGGTAGGATGCTTGCTTACCCAAGCAGTATCCTTACAGTATAGGCTCAGGTAAATGACCTGGGATCCTCTAATCAGACGTACCAGCATCAGATCAGATTTAGAAGTCTGTGATAAAAGAAGCAGGCACCAGCTGGGCACGGTGGCTCATGCCTGTAATCCCAGCACTTTGGGAGGCCGAGGTGGGTGGATCACGAGGTCAGGAGTTCAAGACCAGCCTGGCCAAGATGGTGACACCCTGTCTCTACTAAAAACTACAAAAATTAGCCAAGCGCGGTGGCAGGCGCCTGTAATCCCAGCTACTCAGGAGGCTGAGGCAGGAGAGTCGCTTGAACCCCGGCAGCAGAGATTGCAGTGAGTCGAGATCATGCCACTGCACTCCAGCCTGGGTCAAAGAGTGAGACTCGGTCTCCAAAAAAAATAAAAAAGACGCAGGCACCAGGATGTTGCAGATATGTTTCTTGAGGTAGCACTTTTGGAGGTAATTTTTACTATTCAGCATTGATGGAGTAAGAGGCAATATCTCCACTCATTAACTTAGCAATGATATCTCCATTGCAACAGTTCTTTTGAGTGATTCGGCTGTTTACCCTAGCCTCATTCAAGCCTGCTTATCTGGCTCTCTGAAATATTCTGTAAGCTACCTAAAAGTTTAAATAAAGTGTCTGTTAAACTAACTAGGGTTGGTTTCCACTTGCAATTAAGAATACTGAATAGTAACTTGTTATTCAATATACATGAAAAAAAAAATAATGAGTAGATAATATGACCTAAGGAAAAGAGGTTTTTCTTAGAATGAACAAAAGTAATCTTTGTCAATATCCAATGCGATTATCAAAAATTTGTTTTTAAAAGTAAGGTATATCAGTACATGCAGTCAGGTGCACAGGATTTTTACATATGCACACATACCAGTAACTGCTACTCAGATCAAGATAAAACCATTTCCAGCATCCCAAAAGGTAGCTCTGTACTAATTTTCAATGTGTTCAATCACTTTTGAAAGCCACTCAGATATGGACAATTAGCTATAAATAACAACCAAAAAAAAGTCTGCTGGCGGATTCAATGAATTCAGAGTTAAGCACTAAGAATTAATGATTTGATATAAATTCAATAAATTATGCTGTAATTTTGAAGCTCATTAGAAACATAAATCCAACAAGGGAAAGAACAGTAGTTTTCACCCTTACCTGCTCCTCTGGGATTGGATCTTTGTCTGCAATGTGTAGAGTAGGCTGCTTCAAAGGTACTACTGTACAATGTGGGTTTTCACATGCTATTTCAGGCTTGCCTTTAAAAAATGGGAGTAGGTGGGAATAAAGATAAGAAACAGACCACACAGAAACAAGTGAACATCTAATTAAAAATATCCTTGGGGCCAGGTGTGGTTGCTCATGCCTGTAATCCCAGCACTTTGGGAGGCTGAGGTGGAAGGATAGCTTGAGCCCAGGAGGAGTTCAAGACCAGCCTGGAAACAAAGTAAGACCCTGTAGCTACAAAAACTAAAAAAGAAATCAGCTGGGCATGGTGGTGCACACCTGTAGTCCCAGCTACTTGGGAGGCTGAGGTGGGAGGATCGCTTGAGCTGGGGAGATCAAGGCTACAGTGAGCAGTGATCACGCCACTGCACTCCAGCCTGGGCAAGAGAGCTAGATCCTGTCTCCCCGCCAAAAAATCCTTGGTACTAATACTTTGTCAATTTCATAGTCCAACTTGTTCTAATAATTTTTTACTTGTAAAAAAATAAAGATATTAAAATGAAAAACAATAAATTAGTAGATTTACAACTTAACTTTAAGTCTTTAAACTCTGGGAGAAGAGGACCTGCCCTTCTCTCTTCACCTCACCACAGTATCTGGTACACACCAGGTACTCTATAAATACTTGTTAAACAAAATATTATCATTCACAGCATAGGAACAGTCTTAAGACAGACCATCACTCTTCTTCACAAAATACAAACTTCAATCTTACCCTGAGGCTATTTTAACTCTCAGAAGTTGGAATTGGAAATGAGTTCACAAGTAAATAACTTTACAAGAACACCCAAGTGAGTTTAACTTTGATTAATTCTTAAAATTTGTGTTTGGTATTTACTGACAGGGTTACTTAGTCTCATATCCGGCTGGCTACCATTCATCATTGCCTTTCTACTTATAAAAAAAAAAGTATAGTTTAAACTTCTTGATTTTTACTTTTCAAAAGTAACAATAGTTAAATGGTTTTAAAAAAGAAGTATTTTGGAAATGTTACAAAAAAATAACTGGTTAGTTTGTAGGAAAGATGGCAGAATGATTAATAAATTAATAGGAAGCACTAATGAGAGACAGAATAGCATAGTGGCTAAGAGCTATAGAGTTAGTCACACCTGGGTTAAATCCCAGCTCTTGCTGCTTTCTAGTTTAAATTACAGTTAACTGGCCAGGCACAGTGGCTCACGCCTGTAATCCTAGTACTTTGTGAGGCCAAGGTAGGAAGATCACGAGGTCAGGAGTTCAAGACCAGCCTGACCAACATGGTGAAATCCCGTCCCTATAAAAATAGAAAAATTAGCCGGGCATGGTGGTATGTACCTGTAATCCCAGCTACTCAGGAGGCTGAGGCAGGAGAATTGCTTGAACTCAGGAGGCAGAGGTTGCAGTGAGCTGAGACTGTGCCATTACACTCCAGCCTGGGCAACAGAGCGAGACTCGTCTCAACAAAAAAAAAAAAAAAAAAAAAAAAAAAAAAAGAAAGAAAAAGAAAGGCCAAGTCAAGTGGCTCACGCCTGTAATCCCAGCACTTTGGGAGGCCAAGGTGGGTGGATCATGAGGTCAGGAGTTCGAGACCAGCCTGGCTAATATGGTGAAACCCCATCTTTAATAAAAACACAAAAATTAGCTGGGTATGGTGGCGTGCGCCTGTAGTCACAGGTATTCGGGAGGCTGAGGCAGGAGAATTGCTTGAATCTGGGAGGCGGAGGTTGCAATGAGGCGAGATCATGCTACTGCACTCCAGCCTGGGCGACAGAACGAGACTCTGTCCCCTCAAAATAAATAAATAAATAAATAAATAATTACAGTTATCTGTAGAACAGTGGTGAAAATAATAGTACTATCTTGTAAGATTAAAAAATACATGAAAAGTGCTTAAAACAATGCCTGCTACAGATTACATGCTCAAAAACTGCTATTATTGCCTAATTAGCAGAACACAGATTTCATTATGTCAATGCTGACACCACAGATTGAGCTCTTTGAATGAAAAGAAAAAAAAAAAAATCCGTAAGACTATTAATAGCAATAAACAAGTACATTAAACAGTGTGCTGGTAATCCAGCTCTCAAACAAAACAAAACACCCAATTTGCAGCACTTCCTGATTTCCAGTTCCCATGGTGTAAATGCACCCACTGTGACCAATTCTAAGCTACCAATGATGTTAAACTGACTCACAAATTTTTGAATATTTAACAACCTTTGGAGAGCTAGCTCCAGCATGCAATTCATTTAACAAAAATCTAGCAAGAGGACGGGTGTGGTGGCTCCTCAAGCCTGTAATCCCAGCACTTTGGGAGGCCGATACGGGCTGATCACTTGAGGTTAGGAGTTGGAGCCCAGCCTGGCCAACATGGCGAAAACCCATCTCTACCAAAAAACACAAAAACTAGCTGGGCATGGTGGTACACGGCTGTAATTCCAGCTATTCGAGAGGCTGAGGCAACATGATCATTTGAACCTGGGAGGTAGAGCTTGCAGTGAGCTGAAATTGCGCCAATGCATTCCACACTCCAGCCTGCACGACACAGTGAGACTCTTTCTCAAAAAACAAACAAACACACACAAAAAGCCTAAAAAAATTTTTAAAACTCACCAGATTTTTAATTACATGCTTGCAGTAATAGCTTTTACAAACAGCACAGAAGGTTATAAAGTGAAAAAAGCTCCCTGATGACCTTATCCCTCAGTTCTACTGTCTGAAAGCAGAGGCTTGCCAAATCTGTCCCACTGCCTGTTCTTGTAAATAAATTTTTCCTAGAACACAGCCACACTCATTTAAGTATAGTCTATGGGTGCTTTCACACTACAACAGCAGAGTAAAGTAGCTGTAACAGACACACCATATGGCCTGCAAGGCAGAAAATCTTTAGAGAAAAAAGTTGCAGACCCTTATCTCAGAGCAATACTTCTCAAATTTCTCAGACTTTAATGTGGATACAAATTACCAGATCTTATTAAAATACAGGCAGATTTAAAGTCAGGGGTGCATTTGTAACAAGCTCTCATGTGATGCTTATATGCTAGTCTGGGGATCACTCTGAGTAATAAGGGCCTAGAGGTAATAAATGTGAAGTGTTTTAAAATGATGTGACACACATACATACACATGTGCATACACATATATTTTTGAGACAGGGTCTCACTGTATCACCAAAGGTGGAGCTCAGTTGTGCAATCATTGCTCACTGCAGCCTCGACCTCCTGGGCTCAATCGATCATTCCACCTCAGCCTCCCGAGTAACTTTTTTTTTGTAGAGATGGGGTTTTGCCATGTTGCCCAGGCTGGTCTCAAACTACTGGGTTCAAGTGATCCTCCCTCCTTGGCCTCCCAAAGTGCTGAGATTATAGGCATGAGCCACTGCACCTAGCCTGTGATATTTTTAACAATGGGAAACTGTTATTAACTGGAGATTCTTTTCTATGGCAATCCTCGAGTAATGCCAAAGTTATAACCTATTCTCAATGATTTCCTGCGCTTACCACAATATATATGTAGATATATATGTGTATATACGCATGAGTGTGTACATACATCTTTATATAAATTCTATATAAAATATGGAATGATTCATGAATGTGTACATTGTCCTTACACAAAGGGCATGTTAATTTTCTCTGTATCATTCTAATTTTAATACATGTGCTGCCAAAGCCAAGTACCCTAATCTTGGTTTCTAAATGCCATTCTCCATTAAAAGGTTTTACAAGCCATTCCTCCCTCCATCTCCAGTTCCTTGCAACTACTGATCTGTTTTCTGTTCCTTCGCCAACTAAGAGTGCCTCATAAGTGGAATAACATTGTATGTAGTGGTTTGAATGTGACGTCTTTCACTTGGCATAATGTATCAGAGATTCATTTATCGTATTGTATGCATTGGTAGTTCACTTTTTTTTGTTGCTGAGTAGTATTTCACTGTATGGATGGATGTAACAGCTTAGTCACATCCCAAAGCCTAGCTGCTTCTAGTTTTTAGTTTATGAACAAAATATTTATGTATAGGTTTTTGTATGAACACTAAGTTTTTACATTTCTTGGTTAAATATGTAGGAATGATACTACTGGGTCATATGGTATATGCATTCATAGTGGTTAAAATTTTGATGAAGAAACCATATTTATAAAACCTCAGAGTATTTCTTTACAAAATAATTATCATGAAAGACTTTAAGGAAAAGGAGAATAAAGAGCATGACAACTGAACACCATACACAATCTAGGTCTAGACATATAAAAAATATTGGGACAATCAGGGAAATCTGAATGAGTTCTGTGGATAAAATGGTTGGTGTTCATTTTCTGATTTTGATGGTATACTGTGGGTACATAGAAGAATGTTCCTGCTTTACAAAAATATTTTAGAGGTAATGGGGTTTCAAGTCTACAACTTACTCTCAAATGGTTCAGAGTAACACCACCATCAAAAGAATGACACACATATACAGATACATAGAAAGATAAGGCAATTGTGGCAGAATGTCAACAACTAGGGAATACTGATGAAGGAGACTTTCAACTATTGCAACTTTTCTGTACGTTTGAAATGATTTCAAAATAAGACCTTTTTTAAAAAAGATATGGCTAAAGTACCTGCTTCTTAAAATATTCAAATGAACATTTAAAAAATTTAAACCTGTGTAGTCATGGCCACTGTGAATTTTTTAGTGAGAAAAGTTTGCGAACTGTTTGTGTCTTAATCCATATCATTATTATCTATGAACAAAAGCCACACATACAGAAAATAATTAGAAAATGGCTTAATTATCTACCCAATGAGGTGAAGAAAGTTTTCACAGTAATGGTTAACAATAACAGGTAAGTGTTAGACTAAGATTCAACATCTCAGAGTGTGCTAAAGGAGGGGTGAATGGGATGCATCTTTCTTTTTTTTTTTTTTGAGACAGAGTCTCGCTCTGTCGCCCAGGCTGGAGTGCAGTGGTGCGATCTTGGCTCACTGCAACTCCGCCTCCTGGGTGCACGCCATTCTCCTGCCTCAGCCTCCCGAGTAGCTGGGACTACAGGTGCCCGCCACCATGCCCGGCTAATTTTTTGTATTTTTAGTAGACACAGGGTTTCACTGTGTTAGCCAGGATAGTCTCGATCTCCTGACCTCATGATCCACCTGCCTCGGCCTCCCAAAGTGCTGGGATTACAGGCGTGAGCCATCATGCCCCGCCTTTTTTTTTTTTTAACAGTGTCTTGCTCTGTTGCCCAGGCTGGAGTACAGCAGTGGCATGATCATAGCTCACTGCAGCCTCAAACTCTTGGGCTTAAGCAATCCTCCTGCCTCAGCCTCCTGAGTAACTGGGCACTCAGCCACTCCTGTCACCATGCCTGGCCAGGATGCATCTTTTAACAACCAAAGGTCTTCTGAGTGTTTCTGTTTGTCGAAAATGTACACAGAAGCTCTAGATGTCATATCAGAAAGTTTAATATGCATAAGTATTTGCATATATCAGAGTTTCTTGGTAGATTTATGCTTTGGAGAAAAAATTATTCACAGTTTACATCTGAGATATTAAGAAAACCTTCGGGTAATAAATCAGTAATTAGCATGTTAATATTTCCTTTGGAGAAAGTGAATACTTTTACTATCTAAGGATTTGTTCAAGCTTGCTTAAGACATTAAATAAATTATTACAAATTTAGCTGTAAACACAAAAATAACAGGATGGTAAAGCATTCATTATCTTTAGCAGCAATGCAAATTCTATGCCTAAGTCTGAGTAGCCTCATAATAAAGATCCAAGAGATAAATATGGTACTGGTTTGCAGCACAGTTTTCAAAAATTGATGTGCCAAAAATTGAAAAATGAAATCAGTGAGGTAAAAACAAGCATAAAATCGGAGTCACATAAAAGCAGCTTAGTGGAAAAATCTCAAGACTATTTTTTTTTTTAACTTAGTAGCACAAAGCATCTGATATATTATTAAATAATGACACAATGTGTTTAGATCTTAGTACTAAATATGCAGTGCCACCAATTATATCATTTGTATATTATTTTTGAATGACTGAAGAAAGTATTTTATCTTAAAAGAAAAACTCAAGTTCCTAGCCCCAGACTATCAAACTCATTCTTTTATTATCCTAACTGAAAAAGAGTTTCTGGAAGTTCTAATAATAGAAAAATACTATCAAAATTTATTCTCTCATTTCAGTTTTTTTAAAAAAGAGATATGATTCACTGAACTTTCAAATCATATTCATTTTTAATTTACAAAATGAGAGTCAAGAATTGTATTCAGTGTCACTTTGTACATATAAATTCAACACTAAAAAAAAGTAAACTAAGAAATTTTGAAGCTAGTTTCATCATGAAGACAAGAAGTCCACCTAATAAAATCCTACCAGAGTGGAATAAGCATGTCTGTTAAGCATATGGCAAAGAAATCTCTCACAGGTACCTTTTTTATCCGTATTTCTTCGTAGCAGTTTGTCGACCTGAGAAATGGCCTCTTCCCAGCAATTGTTGCTTGCTTGAACGTGGGGCTGAATCAACTTTAATTTCTGTTCTAGGATAGGATAAGCCTCTGACACTAGTTCTTGTGTTTCTTTAGTACAAACAAGCTTTTCAAGTTCATCTTCAAGAATTATTACCCTGAGTCATAAAGAAAAACAGAAAGAGATTTCTATAATATGAAATGAAAAATTTATAATTTACAAGGCTTATTTTAAAATAAGCTTAAATCCCAGCACTTTGGGAGGCCAAGGCGGGTGAATGGCTTGAGCTCAGGAGTTCAAAACCAGCTTGGGCAACATAGTGAAACCCCCTTTTCACCAAAAATACAAAAAATTAGCCGGGTGTGGAAGCATGTGCCTAAGGATGAGGTGGGAGGACTGCTTGAGCCTGGGAGGTAGAGGTTGCAGTGAGCCTCGATAGTGCTACTGCACTTCAGCCTGGAGGATGGAGTGAAACCCCACCTCAATTTAAAAAAAAAAAAAAGAAAGAAAAAAGGCTTATAATAAGATGAAAAAAGTTCTGGAGTTGGACAGTGATATGGCTGCACAACAATGTGTATACACTTAATGCCACTGAACTGTACATTTAAAAATGATTAAATGATAAATTTTGTTATATATACTTTGCCATAATTTTTTAAAAAGCTTATAAAGAGTATTAAATATTTATTCAACAAATATTTCTTGCATACATACTAGGCATTTTATGGGCTAAAAAGAAAAAAATAAGCTCATCTGCTATTTATAAGAAATAACAAACGATATTACACATATATGTAAGTAAAATATAACATCCACCCCCCACACTCCTCCCTACCCTCACTTCCCCTGCCAACAACAGCTCCCTGGCTGCCCCCCCACTCGGATGTGGCTCGAGCTGGTGACACACAAGACTAGAGACACCACAGACCCACGACCCGGAGCAGCTTGGAGGCAGTGAATAATAACTCTTCAGGTCTGCAATAACAAATGGCCTCCAACAAAACCACGTTGCAAAAAATGGGAAAGAAACAGAATGGAAAAGTTAAAAAGTTGAAGAGGCAGAGCCTGATGAATTTGTGGTGGAAAATGTACTAGATCGACATGTAGGGAATGGGAAAGTAGAATATTTCCTGAAGGGATTTACAGATGCTGACAATACTTGGGAACCTGAAGAAAATTTAGATTGTCCAGAGTTAACTGAAGCATTTCTTAATTCTCAAAAAGCTGTGAAGAAAAAGACGGTACAAAAAGAAAATCTTTATCTGACGGTGAATCTGATGAAGCAAATCAAAGAAGAAAAGAGATGCTGTTGACAAACCAAGAGGATTTGCCAGAGGTCTTGATACTGAAAGAATAATTGGTGCCACAGACGGCAGTGAAGAATTGATGTTGCTCATGAAATGGAAGGATTCAGATGAGGCAGACTTGGTGCTGGCACAAAAGGCAAATATGAAGTGTCCTCAAATTGTAACTGCTTTTTACGAAGAAAGACTAACTTGGCATTCTTGTCCATAAGATAAAGCCCAATTATTGTTCACATTGTATGTGTGTGTGTATATAGACACATGTATACACACACACATATATATAAAATTTGCGGTTGGGCGTGGTGGCTCACATCTGTAATCTCAGCACTTTGGGAGGCCAAGGCTGGTGGATCACCTGAGGTCGGGAGTTCGAGACCAGCCTGGCCAACATGGTGAAACCCCGTCTCTACAAAAATACAAAAATTAGCTGGGCGTGGTGGCAGGTGCCTGTAATCCCAGCTACTCAGGAGGCCAAGGCAGGAGAATCGCTTGAACCTGGGAGGCAGAGGTTGAAGTGAGCCGAGATCACGCCACTACACTCCAGCCTGGGCAACAGAGTACCAGGCTCTGTCTCAAAAAAAAAAAAAAAAAAAAGGGCAGAGGGGAGCATCTTGGTTTTTTATTTACTAGTGTGACAAAATAACTACATTCTAATGAAAATCAAGTTTGATATGCTCATTTTGAAAATAGTGTTGGGTTTTTCTTTTTTGTATCAATAGCACTGGTTACTTTGAATAAATAAAAGCTTTCTGTAGTTGCTTCCTTTATCAGAAAAGAAAAAGACTACAATATCATAAATAATTAGAACTATTATTTTATTTCCATTTTACAGATAATAAGGAATTAGGCCCAGAGAGTTGGGGAAACTTGCCTAGAGTCAGAAAGCTAGTAAGATGTAAAACTGGGCTGAATACAGGCACAAAAGGATAATACCATAGAGAGACAGATAGTGTGATGAGAAATCAGAAGAAGGGAAAATTACAACCAACTGTAAGGATAGATGGGGAACAACTAAGGACGAGGTATTTTTGAGGTAGTATTGAAGGGATGGATAAAATTTGGGCCCATATACAAAAGGTGAGGAACGCTGTTCTTTTTATTTTTTATTTTTTTTTGAGACAGGGTCTCACTCTATCACCCAGGCTAGTGCAGTAGTGTGATTTCGGCTCACTGTAACCTCAACCTCCAGGGGTCAGGTGATCCTCCCACCTCAGCCTCCCAAGTAGCTGGGACTACAGGTATGTACCACCACGACTGGCTAATTTTTGTATTTTTTTTTTGTAGAGATAAGGGTTCACCATGTTGCTCATCTCAGCTACTGGGCTCCAGCAATCTGCTCTACTCGGCCTCCCAAAGTATGAGGATTATAGGCATTAGCCATTGTGCCTGGCCAGAAGCTTGTTCTATTAGATTGGTGCAAAAGTAATTGAGGTTTTTGCCGTTACTTTTTTTTTTTTTTTGAGATAGAGTCTCGCTCTGTCGCCCAGGCTGGAGTGCAGTGGCACAATCTTGGCTCACTGCAAGCTCCGCTTCTCGGGTTCTCCCAAGTAGCTGGGACTACAGGTGCCCACCACCACGCCCAGCTAATTTTTCTGTTTTAGTAGAGACAGGGTTTCACCATGTTAGCCAGGACGGTATCAATCTCCTGACCTCGTGATTCGCCCACCTCAGCCTCCCAAAGTGCTGGGATTACAGGCATGAGCCACCTCGCCTGGCCTGCCATTACTTTTAATGGCAAAAACTGCAATTACTTTTGCACTAACCTATAAAAGGACCATGGGAAAAGGCATTTATACAGTTTGGCTGGACTGAAGGAAAGGAATGAGAAATAAAGATAGAAACAGAGTGTAGTCAAGTTATGACAAACACTTCTATAGTATGTTTTGTAAAGACTTTAGTCTGAGCTGCTATGACTCCGAAACAAGTCAAGATTTTCAGTGAAGTGACAAGGCAAATATAAGCCTCAGCAACATTAATCTGGCCATACACACCCTGAAGGTGGGGAGAACAGTTAGAGATTAATGCCTTAGTGTAGGGAAGGGACAATATGGTCCCACACCGAGGCCCTGAGAGTGGGAACAGCAAAGGAGACAAGGGGGAGAGGTGTGAAACACAAAAAGAGCATTCTAAAATATGAAACACAAAACAATTATTTAGTTAACAATTTAAAGAGTTGTATGTAGCAGCACTACAGAGCAAATTGGATATGATGGTTTGTGACTGGTGTATTTTCTAGTGAAAATACTTAGAAAGGAGAGACATTAGCATATATGGAGTATTCCACTTTAAAACAGGACAAAAACTTCCTATGCATAACCCACAATTCCTACCCATGGTAAAAGCTCCTCTTTTTTGTGTTCATATCTACCTTGTGTAGCACGCTTTCTTCCCTGAGCCATCTTCCCTCACTCTAATGCATTCTAATATGTGCCGTATATTTCTGATTCTATTGCCAAAGCTTACTTCTTCAGAGACTCTGGCTTTGCCTACAACCTGTCCACTGAAATCTGATTTTCCTTTGAGGACAATTCAACCTTTGCCACCCAGTCAAGTGGAGATGGCCTTATTGCCCAGTTCCCTGTAGGAGGCAGGGCTAAGAAACTGGTTAGCATTTACCTGCTTTCTTAGAATAGCAGATATAGACTACTGGAATACCCTGAGTTCATAGTGTCTTCATTTTTCTTATGCCATAATCTTTTTTTTTTTTTTTTTTTGAGACGGAGTCTCGCTCTGTGGCCCAGGCTGGAGTGCAGTGGCCGGATCTCAGCTCACTGCAAGCTCCGCCTCCTGGGTTTACGCCATTCTCCTGCCTCAGCCTCCCGAGTAGCTGGGACTACAGGCACCCACCACCTCGCCCGGCTAGTTTTTTGTATTTTTTTTAGTAGAGACGGGGTTTCACTGTGTTAGCCAGGATGGTCTCAATCTCCTGACCTTGTGATCTGCCCGTCTCGGCTTCCCAAAGGGCTGGGATTACAGGCTTGAGCCACCACGCCCGGCCATGCCATAAGCTTTATATCAGCCTTATATCAAGCCCATCTCAGGCCTTGAACTGATGGGTAAAAACTTAGCTTCTCAAAATGTCCTTCTGACTTTAAGTTCCTATCCTTGTATCTCTTATCCTCCCTAATTCCAGTGAAACTAGCCTTTTGATTTTGCTGATATGTCAGTCCTTTTGACCCATTTTTATTTACATAATTAAATGCTGCCTTCCCCATTCCACTTCTTGCCTTGTATCCCAGGGTCAAGTACACCAACTACAATCTTGTTAGCTCTTTAAATTCCTAGGACCTTCTTGATTACCAACACAACATGAACTCAACCATTCATTTGATCCAGTCCTACATGATGAATATTTAACTGTTACAGAAAAATTTCACTGGAAATGACTGTATTCAATTAAATGCCTTGATTCAATTTTTAAACTTGAAAACTTCGTAGAAATATGTGAAAATAGATTTTCAGCTGAAGGTATATCGAAGTGGGACATAAAAATTTAGAAATTAAGGTAGAGTACCAACAATTTCATGCAAGGCAGGAAATGAACAAATATAAACTCTAGACTCTACATTTTGCTTTTCAACTGGTACCACAAAGCTTGTCCTGTGATACAAAAAAATTTCTACATCTGCTGTAATTTATTTAGTAAAACAGCAATATGTTACTCTTCTACTACATATAACAATGCCTCTTGTAACACACTGTTCCAATCTTGGTAGATATTTCTATTGGACTGCAGGTTCCAGTTGAAGAGCACTACCTTAAGAGAGTTAAAAGAAACTCATTCTTTATAACCATCTCCATTTCAGCTCTCAAAGAGAATGAACAACACCTGCTTTTACCTACCTTTCCAAGTTTTCTGCTGAACTAAGGAAAAGTAAAAACTGTAACTCCCTCAAGTTATAGTACTTACAAATTATTATTATTATTATTTTTGCTATATTTGTAGCTATAAATCACCCTTCATGCTCATGTCTCAACTTTGCTTCTTTTTTCTAGCTAGGACACAAGCCAACAACCACAATGGTACACGAATGAAGCCTGCTAATCACCGAGACCTTTCTTGGTATAATTTCTAAACTTACTCATTCAGTAATGCTTTCAGATGGAGCTGCAAGCTACGTACTGCTGTGTGAACATTATTCAGTTCTCTTGACTTCTGTTGAGTTTTGGATAAACACTGTGGTACTGACTGGTGCTGAGTTTCAAAGTACCGATAGAACTCATAGCTGCGCTTAAGCTCTTCCAAACAGGCAGAATGAGCGTGAGGTAGACCTTGAGTCACATCAGATAAGATACGATGAGGCAGAAGTGCTGGAGTAAGTAAGGGCCCAGGAGGTGAACTGGCTGTAGAAAGTAATAGGGCTAACCGTCTGAAGAACTCTGAACTCTGTGCCACCCAGAGTTGGAACAAAACCTAAAGAAAAAAGAAAAAAGGACTAGATCAATAACAAATATTGGTCAGTGTTCAAAGCAAACTATAAATTTGTTTATCTTAACTTCTGGTTTAAATTTTGCACTTTATCCTAAATAATAAATATAACTGAGCTTAAACTACCTTAAGATGAGCCAAGAATATGATTTCAAATTATGTATGTGGGAACCTGTTATTCCAATACAGCAGGTAACATCAATATATAATTTACTACAGTTCTGTCCTAGATGGGAAGTGTTGATGGAATGAGATACTTTAGTAAAAGTGAATCTTCACTCATTATTTAAAAAAAATTTTCACACAGAAAAGAAGACAGTAGGACTAGTGGATATATATATATTTCTCCAAAGAAATGAGTCACATGGATCAAAAGCTTGGGTTTCAAAATAAGACTATTACCTTGCCCTATGAATTAACTAAGAAATTAACATAAAAATCAGTCCAGGGCTAGGCGCAGTGGCTCACGTCAGTAATCTCAGCACTTTCGGAGGTGGAGGCGGGGAGATCACTTGAGGTCAGGAGTTTGAGACCAGCCTGGCCAACATGGTGAAACCTCGTCTCTACTAAAAATATAAAATTCAGCCAGACATAGTGGTGGTGGTGTGTGTTTGCAATCTCAGCTACTTGGGAGGTTGAGGCAGGAAAATCATTTGAACTTGGGAGGCAGACGTTACAGTGAGCTAAGATGGTGCCACTGCACTCCAGCCTGGGTGACACAGCAAGACTCTATCCAAAAAAAAAAAAAATCCATTAAATACTCCAGGAATGTCTGACATGAGAAATTGCAAAACCTATTATTTTAATTAATTAATTAATTAATTTTTGCCATAGAGTCTTGCTCTGTTGCCCAGGCTAGAGTGCCCAATGGCATGATCATAGCTTACAGAAATCTCTAACTCCTGGGCTCAAGTGATCCTCCTGCCTCAGCCTCCTGAGTAGCTAGAAACACAGGCATGTACCACCATACTCAGCTAATATTTAAGTTTTAGAGATGGGGTCTCAGTATGTTGCCAGGACAAATCCCATTCTTCTTCTTCTTTTTCTAAAAGCAGTCTGAATATGTTCATAGGCCCATTCCTGAGATACATCCTGAATCCTTGCAGCAAAACATTTCTCCAGATACAGTCGTATTCAAGATGAGGACAATATCTCTGAAACAAATGCATGAGGAAACAATGTAGTATGAAACAAGAGGTAGCAGGCAATAAAAAGAGGATGAAACCACTTTTGGTAATTTAGATTCCAATTATTCACAACCATGAAAATAGACATTATTTAGATGGTTTTATTAAATGAATTTTAAAATTATGCCAATAATGAATTAAGGTAATTTCACATAAATCTACTTTACCATTAACTTGTTTTATTTTATTTTTTTAAAGTGAGCAAGGCCAGATTTCCTAGTTGCTACAGATGCAATATCTAGGGATTCTTGACTTACAAGTTTACTTGCAAGTCTTCTTATTCAACTATTAAATTTTATGATTACAATGATTTTTATTATTTTATTTGTTCATTCAGAAATGATTTCTTGAGCACCCACAAGGTGCCAGGCACTGTTCTAGGTGCACATAAACAGCAGAGAGCAAAAATGAAAAGAGTCTCTACTCTGATGGAGCTACAAGTAGAGGGGCACAGATAATAATCTACAAGTAAAAGATACTATTTCCCTTTTGCTATAATGATTGTCCAGGAAGAAAAAGATAGTGTTTCTTGGTTGATGGGAAAAATACAACAAAGAAGGGGAATTTTGTGTGTGTGTGTGTGTGTGTGTGTGTATGTGTGTGTACACATATGAAAGAGGTGGAGAGAGACAGAAAGCAGGAAGGAGAGAGGAGAAAGGGGTGGCTGGGGAGGTCTCTAAAAGTGTCACCTAAAGGAAGTGAGCCATGAGATCATCATCAAGGAAGAGAGTTCTAGGGAGCAGGAAGTCAAGTGCAAAGTACTGTTGTGGAAGCACACAGGGCAGATCATGGAACAAGAAGTTCAGTATGGCTGGGGCCAGGTAAACAATGGGGAGCCACTGAAGGGTTCTGAGCAGAAGCGTGACATAATCTGATTTATGCATTAACAGGCCCATACTGGCTGCTGAGTTGAGAGATTACAGGAAAATGAGAGTAGAAGCAGAGAAACCAGTAAGGAAGTTACTGCAATACTCCAGGTTAGCATTAATGAGACCACAGTGGTCAGCGGTAGAAGGTGAGCAGCAGATGGACTCTGGATCCATTGTGAAAGTAGAACCAACATAGTCCCTTGACTGATTGGTACTGAGAGAATAAGAGCTAACAAGGATGATTCCAGCATGCTGGGTCAAGATAACTGCAAGAATCAAGTTGGGACAGCTTACTGTGGCTTTTAAAAAGACTAAAGGCCAGGAGCAGTGGCTCCCACCTGTAATCCCAGCACTTTGGGAGGCTAAGGTGGGAGGACTGCTTGAGGCCAGTAGTTGGGAGACCAGCCTGGGAAACATAGTGAGACCCCTGTCTCTACAAAATATTTTCTTAAAAATTAGCCAGGCATGGTGGCATGTAACTGATGTCCCAGTTACTTGGGAGGCTAAGGTGGGAGGATAGCTTGAGCCCAGGAGTTCAGGGTTACAGTGAGCCACGATTGCACCACTGCGCACCAACTGCACGACTGAGCAAGACCTTGTCTCTAAAGACTAATTTATTATCCAACCACTGTCACATTATCCATTTAAACCAGAACTCAGAAATATGTATTTCTTTTTTCCTTGGATAAGGAGATAACCATAGCCAATAGGTAAACAGAAAATTTGATTTAAAGCATTTCACAATGTGTGCATTTATTTTTCTAGAGCAGGAAACATATGACTTTATAAATTTTAAAAACTGGTTAAAAACTTAAAGGAAAAGAGAGGGATAAGGACTCCGTTCTAGGGACTGATTGAGTATCCCTAATCCAAAAATTTGAAATGAAATCCCAAATGCTCCAAAATTTGAAACTTTTTGAACACCAACATGGCAGTTAAAGGAAATGCTCACTGGAACATTTCAAATTTCAAATTTTCGGATTAGGGATGCTCAACCTCAATGTGTAATGCAAATATTCCAAAATCTGAAAAAATCCAAAATCCAAAACACTTCTAGGCTCAAGCATTTTGGATAAGAAATATTTAACCTGTATTTCATTTATGTCTCCTCAGGCTACAATTCAGAGGTTGCTTTTCTTTCCAAAGGTGCAATACTTGCTATCACTAAACTTTCCTGAGGGAAGATATGTTAACAATAAAAAATAAATCCAAAATGTATTTTCTTTAGAGGGGGCAACGCACTTTTAAAAATTTAACTTACAAAATCTATTTTTAAATTTCTTATCTGAATAACGATACAGTGGCAACTACAGAAGGGGACAATACACAGTTTTTGAACATTACAGGGGTTTTCAACAGTTTGCAAAGTCTATAGAGCTCCTCAAGATAAGGCTCCTTGCAGAGCCTGATAAATGCGGTAACTGTAACACAATTATTGAGTTTGGTTATAGGTTAGTTATAGGTAAAAATAAAAGAAATATAAAAATACTATTATACTTTGATTTGTAAAACACTGAGTGAGCAAAAAGAATCCAGCTATAATCATTGTTGGAAGGCAAGATGGGGATACAGCAACAGAGAACAAGTCTCACATTTCAGAGCAGGTCATATCAGATAGAATTTTAAAAATCAGCTAACATTTATTAATTGCTTACCCTACACCAGGCACTGAACTGACAAACATCTAATCCTTTGGAGGCAAGCATTGCAATTATCCCATTTTAATAAACACAGAAACAATGATTTGCTCGGGACCACACAGTAGTCAAATAATGGAGCTAGAGTGAAACCTGGAAAATCTGACTCCACAGGGTCCACAACTTCTCTTTGCTGCCTGTACTTAAGCTAGAGTACGATTCAGGATTTAATACACTTTTAAAAACAGTACATCAACAGCATAAAGAAAAAAATCTCCAAGGCATCTTGATGAGTTAACAAAAAGTAATTTAAAAGGAAATGAAATACTATAATTCTTTCTCCAAGTCCTTCTTAAAGAATAACAGCTATTACCATTTGGGGGTACCCATTATATGACAAGCCCTGTTTGAGGTATTTAATATGTCTTCTCATTTAATCTAACACCTTATAAGGCAGGGATGGCAACTCCTTTTCACAGGTGACGTAAGTTTAAAGAATAACTTATTCAAAGGCAAATGGCTAGTCAGTCAGGGCTAAAATATAAACCTAGGTCTGCTTAATTTTCCACATTAAGAATCTCTTAAATTGTCCTTTGAAAAAATATTTATTTTCCTTAAAGAACAAAGCATGGTTAGGATATTAAATTTGAAAGGGGGTGAAATTACCTATAGTCCCACCACCCCAAAGAGTAGCTTTATATATCTTGGTATTTTCTCCTCATTTTTTTTTTAAACAGAGTTGTGGCCATATTGCATATACACTTATGTATCCTGATTGTTTCACTGCCAACAGATGTTTCTCCAAGTTTTTACAGAATTTTCACGAGCAAGCTGTAGCTGCTACACAATGGTTCACCATGTGGCTCTGGCATGACTCACGCAGCCACTCCTCTATTTTTGAACTTTCAGGCAGTGTTCCATTGTGCACTATTATAAACACAAAGTGAATAAGCAACTTGGTATATAAAGCTTGACTATGTTTAGAATAATTTCCTGCAGTTTGTAGAAGAGGAATTACAAATTCAAAGGATAAATCATTTAAAAGGCTCTTTACATGTCAAGTTGCATTCTGAAACAAATAACTTTAGAGAACTGAGGAAAGTACTGCAGCAGCCTAAGTAAGAAATGGTGGCTGGGACTAGGATGGTGGGGCTGCGGGGTTGGATATAGAAAAAAGTGGATGGGTTTAAAATACATTTTCAAGGTATAAGTAAGAATCTGCTAACAGACTGGATGTGAGTGGGCAAAAAGAGGGACAAGAAAGATGGTGTCCAGGTTTCTAGTTTAAGTTTTGAGGTGCCATTTATTGAGATGGGTTAAAATGGGAGTAAGAATAGGTCAAAGCAAATTTTAAGCAGGAGAGAAAGAAAACAAACAAGATAATTAGAACATTTATGTTGGTTTAGAAAATGTAAAAGATACGGAAGTCAATACAGTCTCAAAACAAAATGGATCTGATAAATGCTAACAATACTTGCACGAATTTTCATGGTATCAAGGGAAATTTTAAAAACTAAAAACAAAGAAACATCTAAAGAGAGTTTACTAAACACTTAATAGGAACTTAAGACATTTGGATCAATGTCTTAAAAATACTACTGGAGGTTGGGTGGGGTGGCTCATGCCTGTTATCCCAGCACTTTGGGAGGCTGATGTGGGCAAATCGTTTGAGCTCAGAAGTTTGAGACCAGCCTGGGCAACATGGCGAATCCCTGTCTCTACAAAAAATACAAAAATTAGTTAGGTGTGGTGGTGTGTACCTGTAGTTCCAGCTACTCGGGAGGCTGAGGTAAGAGGATCACTGAGCCTGGGGAGGTTGAGGCTGCAGTGAGCTGTGACTAAGTCATACTGTACTCCAGCCTGGGTGACAGTGAGACTCTGACTCAAAACAAAAACAAAAAAATTTGTTTCCAATGTTGGCTGCTATGGTAATGTCATGAACATACTTTGGGTATATCTTTGGTTACTTTCTGAGATAAATCTGTAAGGGCAAATTAAAATTGCTAGAATAAAGCAATTTTGCTTCTTACACCTGTATGAAGATTGGTATTCAATGCTAAAGTGAACCAGTTTATACTTTCACCACTGGTCTGTGTGAGGTCTCCCTGAATTTTCAATGATAATGAAATTACCAACTTTCAATATCCTTGGCAAAATGGTCAGCTTATTATTTTTATTTGTGTTCTTTCATTACTAAAATGAAAAATTTGTATCATATTTATTGGCCATTTGTATTTCTTCTTTTCTTGTTTTTTCTTTTTAGGCTAGTCAAATGAAGTAGCGGGAGTGAGGAAGGAACAAAGAAATCTGTAACTGGTTGTGATCAATTCGTTGTAAAATACAACCTCACTGGGACTAGACTGTGTTTCTTTTTTTGTGAACTGTCAGTTCAGCCAAATGTACCCTTTCATGTGGCTTTTAATGTATGAAAAAAAATCTTAAGAATTTTGGAGATAACACATTAGCCATGTTTGTTGAAACAAATGGCTAGTTATAAAATCACTCATATTGGCCTCCAATCAAAGTAAATTCACTTATCTCCAAACTCTAATTTAAGGCATTTCTTTAAGCATTTTAAGTATTTGGAGATCAAAATCTAAGAATCTCCTCTTCCAATCCATAATAAAGATTATGCTCTCAGCACTTAAAGACAGTGTTACAAACATCACCAGTGCATTTATGATGATGGCGTGCAGCAAACAATGAGGGGAACAGGCGCACCATTTACATTCACAAAGAATAGACACAATCCAAGTGCATCTATCTTTTCTTCAGACCTTCCCTTCCACAGATGGATTACCTTCAATGCAGGCAGGCTGAAGCCATCTGTAAAGTTATGTGCTTCCTCTTCTGAAATCTGCTCTTCACTAAGTCCAAGGCCCAGCTCCTTAAAAGGCACCACACAGATGTAGTTGGTTACATTGTCACTCTCAGAGTTCAGGGGGTAGGTTAAATTAGGTTAAGGCAATCAACAAAGCCTTTTCATGAAAGCATAGAAGATACAGTGAAATTGTCCTACATCACATTTACTAATCTTTATTCTGAACTTTTGGGTGAGGAGATTTACAGCAGTTTTTAAACAAAAATTAATTTTAAATATCTAATATATTAACATAATACCTCAGATATCTTGGATACTTGTGGATACAATTTTTAATGTCTAAAAAATTAAAAGTCCAACTCTTCAAAAGGGTTACAGTGATGTTATTTATTCATTTTTTTGAGACGGAGTCTTGCTTTGTCACCCAGACTGGAGTGCAGTGGCACCAGCTTGGCTCACTGCCACCTTAGCCTTTCAGGTTCAAGCAATTCTCCTACCTCAGCCTCTCAAGTAGCTGGGATTACAGGCATGCACCACCACACCCAGCTGATTTTTGCATTTTTTTCTAGGGACGGTGTTTTGCCATGTTGTCCAGGCTGGTCTCGAACTCCTGGCCTCAAGTGATCTCCCCGCCTCAGCCTCCCAAAGTGCTGGGATTACAGGTGTGAGTCACTGCGCCCGGCCCCGTTATTTTTGACACCTACCATTTGAAGCTGTATTGGGCACTTTATTGTGTCATGGTTCAGGGTCCTCACTATGCTACAGTAAATACCCTTTTCCTCTCAGTCTGCATACTGCAGGACATTATTAGTTGAACGTTATCTGAAATACACAGACTGATATAAGTGGCACCAGGCCTGTCCTATCTAGCTTGTTTGACAAAGATTACTGTTAGGTTTCCTCTGCCCTCATCCTTACAGACACATCAAAATCAATAATGATCTTCCCTTTAATTGTTTCTCTAAATAATTACATCCATATAATAATTGATCGTGAACCATTTTTGTATTTCTAGCATATTCCTATTTGGTTATATTATAATAATCTTTTGATACAATCCAATATTAAATTTATAAATATTCCATTTAAACATTTTGTATCTCCATTTATGAGACTGGCCTACATTCTTATGTAGTTTTATGTAATAAAACAGTTTTATGTAATAAAACTGGTTTTTATTCTTTGTAATACAACATGTTTTGGTATTGAGATATTTTCATAAATAAAATGATATAGGGAAACTTTCTAACCTTTCCTATAGTCTGAAATTTTTTTTAAACTATAAAACCATCTGGATCTGGTAGTTAAAAAATTTTAAATTCACTTTGCTTTTGAATGGGTAATATATTCACAGGATTCAAAATTCATGAGGTATTAAGGGATACAGCAAAAACTACTTTCCACCTCTATGCCTTAGCCATGTAGTTCCACTATTCAAATGCAAAGGCAATTCCTTTTACCAGTACCTTCCAAGATTTTTTATGTATACATACATAAAAGCAAATTCAAATATAAATGTGTATCTGGAGATATGTAGGTATATACGCATACATGTACACAAACACATACATACATATTTATCCCTGTAGAAACACACAGTCCCTTTTATGCACAAATTGAAGGATACGATAAATACCGATCCATGCACTTTCTGATTTTTTTTCACTTAACATAACTTGGAGATCCACAGTAGAGCACTAAGAACTCTATCATTGTTTTTTAAAAATAGTTTCATATTTTCCATTGTCTACATATAAACCAGGTGTTTTCTTTATAAAATTGAGTATTCTTTATCCCATGTCCAATCTCTTCAAGTTTTAAAATTCTTCCTAGGTCAATTTTGCAGATTTTTATTTTGATAAGAAATGAGGCTGGGCTCAGTGGCTCATGCCTATAATCCCAGCAATGTGGGATCCCTTGAGTCCAGGTGTTCGAGACCAACCTGGGCAAAATGGTGAAACCCTGTCTCTAAAAAATGCAAAAAAACTAACCAGGCTTGGTAGCATGTGCCTTGGTCCCAGCTACTTGGAAGGCTAAGGCAGGAGGATCGCATGAGAATGAGACTACAGTGAGCCGTGATCATGCCACCACACTCTAGTCTAGGTGACAGAGTGAGACACTATCTCAAAAGAAATGAAAAGAACCATTTTCCCCTACATGTTTAAAGTTGTTGCTGTGGAGCTGCATATATAACATCCCCTCTTCCAGTTATTTTAATGTCTTCTATATCCACGGTTACCACTGTGTTCTCATTACTAATCTTGTATATTTCTGCTCTTTACTTTGGTCAGGCAAACAAGGGTTTACATATCTTACTGGTCTTCTTAAAATGATCGGTGGATTCTTTTTTAGTTAAATTTATTAAGGTTTCTTATATGGAGAATATGATCTGGCCCCTGGCTACCTCTGAGTTTCATTTCATACTCTAACCTCCAACTTCCTGTGCTCAACTCATGATGGTCTTCTTTCTATACTCCAATCATGCTAAATTCATTCCTGCCACAAGATCTTTCTACTCACTGGTCTATCTAACTGGCATACTCTTCCTCCAGATCTTTCCATTATGCAAACCTCAGTTTAAATGCCAGCTCCTCAAAAAGGCCTTCTCTTACCATCTAATAAAAAGCAGCACTCCACCAATCATTCTCTACCCTATTCCCCTGTTTCTTTTTCTTCATAATAACTGTTTTATCTGAAGAATCGCATCTGTCCATTTATTATTTTATTTTAGTTTATTTTAGACAGGCTCTCACTCTGTTGCCCAGGCCGGAGTGCAGTGGCACAAACACAGCTCACTGTAGCCTTGACCTTTTGGGCTCAAGGAATCCTGCTGTCTCAGCCTCCCAAATAGCTGGGACTGCAGGTGTGTGCCACCATGCAGCTAATTTAAAACAATTTTTATTTTTTTATTTTTTTTTTAGAGACAGGGTCTCACTATATTGCTCAGGCTGGTCTCAAATTCCTGGGCTCAAGCAATCCTCCTACCTCAGCCTCCGAAAGTGCTGGGGTTACTGGCATGAGCCACCACACCAAGTCCATCTTTTATTGATTATTTCATCTACTAGAAGGTAAGCTCCACGAGAATAAGGATCTTGTCTATCTTATTCACTGCTAGGTCCCCAGTTTCTAGAAAAATGACTGGCACAAAGAACTCATATAATGTGTAGTCTTTGATAGGCTAACCCTATCACTCCCTAACCCACACTGAACTACAAGCTCCATAAGGCAGGGATCATGTCTATTATGTTTACCACTGTACATCTAGTGATGAGCATATTGTGCGGCAGTCTGTGCTCAAAAAATACTGACTGAATGACCAACAGTTCACATGCCACACTGTCATCTCTCTATTTCTTCCCATGTGTTTTTGCTTCCTTCTACCTGGAATGCAGACTCTTATCCTCATGGCCAACTTCTATTCATTCTCGGAAGCTCAACTTAGATGTCACCTCCCTGAAAGCCTTCTCTGACCCCATAAACTGAGTATGTTGCCCTGCTATGTTGGAAGGCACCCATGGCACTTATATCAAATTGTGAATACTGATTTCTCTATTGATCACATTCAAAAGTCTTTAGAAGTAGGTAGTACATATTTTTACTCAGTTTTCCTAGCACTTGGAAGAATGGTTGACCTATAGCAGGCCAGCATTTAGGCAATGGGGGAATAAAATGGACAAGTTCTTGATAAAAATTAAAATGCTTTTTCTCTATTTCATATATATATATATCTCTCTCTAGATATATCAGTTTTGACCTATAAGATATATATATCTAGATATATCAGTTTTGTCCATATAAGATATATATCTTATATGGATATATATCTAGAGATAAATATGAAATTTCCATATATAGAGAGAGAGAAAGAGAAAAATGGTTTCAAGTCATAAGTTCTACAGTCAAGACACAACTTCATCTGTTAGTAGTTCTATGATACTGCACAAGTAACTTAACCTCTATTTTAGTTTTCTCATAAAATGGAGACAAGAAAATCTAGCTATAAAGGTTTGTATAAGGACATGATAGAACATAAAGCACCCTGTAAACTTTGAGTATTATATTTATCAGTGCTATAATACCCAGCATCCTGAAGTGGCAAAGTTGTCTTTTTGCCTTCTATTTAGTCAGGATTTAACTTATCTATATGTCTTTACTAAAATAAAGCTCTTATATGCCTTTTTTTTCTGGCTATTAGAACTAATTTCCTATTTTAATAAATTTAAGTGACAGACTTTATTGTCATACAGTCTTTGGGTGCTTACTATATGCTAGATGATGTCTGATCACTTTACATGCATTAACTCATTTGATCCTAACAAAAATCCAATAAGGAAGATGATGTTATTATTGCCATTTTAAACATGACTAAAGCAAGGTGCAGAGAGGTTAAGAAACTTGTTTAAGGTCACTTAGGGAGTAACTGATACAGTCAGTGTTTGAACTTAGCCATTCTTCTCCTAGAACCTGCTTTTTTGAAAAGGGAAGGATTTCCAGTTGCCAGTTTATTAACATGCCATGATGCAAATCTGCCATGTTGAGAAATTTGTTTAAAATATCAGATCTAGCAAAGCCAGGCTCTTCTGACTTCATTCTTTGGATGAGTAAAGGAAGAGACTTCAAGTTTTTTCCTTGTTTAAAAAGCAGCCACACAAGAACAGAACTTTCTTCCTGTCTGTTATTGTCATTCCCCCAGGAATGCATTTCCAGTTTTAACATAGAAGTAATGATGGAAATTAGTTTCAAAATAGGCAATCTCAGTTTACAGTAAACATTCAGAAGATACAACTATAATACCTGTATTCAGGACTCCAGAAACATTGCTTAGTTTCATATGTAAACAGAAAAGGATATTTTTTCAGCATATATAGGGTAGCTAGCCTTGCTGCTTGGAAGTTGGCTCTTAGAGTTCGGTAGACAGCTTTCCGAAGACCGATGAGATGCTGACTTGGATGCTGTCCAGCTTTATTAAATGGGCAAGCAGCACTGACCCTGTCAAGCAAACTTGAAAAGTAAAATGTGATACAACTGTACAGGTGTCCTAAAGTTTTTGTTTCCTAAATCCACAATTCTATTAAATGTAGAAAACAAATTCCTCTATCATTATCTTTACTAGAAAATGATTATAAGTATGTCAACTCAGGTCTCATAAAATAGTCATTTCTGTGAATATATATATGCATATATATAGACAGCCACTTAAAAAAAAAAGACAAAAAATTAAAATCTCAAAGAGTAAAGGCTTCCTCTGATGTGGGGAAACAATGGATTTTGGCTGAGATATAACAGAAATGTAGAAATATTTATTAAGAATTCACATCTTTTTTACATAGACACTATGCTTGCTAAAATATATTGGAGAAAAGCTACTTTATATTCAGTTTTCAAAACCTATATCCACAGGAAGTATGAAGACCTTAATTATAAACACTTTCAAATTATTAATATACATTTACATATGTTCATTACATATGTTCACTGATCATATTTTGGTCACTTGTACAGAAAAAATACTATATAGAAATACTTTCTGTACATTCATAAAAGTAGGGTAAAATTACTTACCCACCTGCTGCCACTGGCACTTACCTACTCAAAATGAAGTAGGGAACGTGGAAAGATAACAGGACCAGTGGCCAACAGGGGAATGCAAGTAGAAAGGCAAAGTAAGGGTTACTACATAGTAGCACAGCTACTCTCAAAGCTGTTCAAGAGGAAGCACATTTCATGGCACTTCCCATAAGATTAATGGGAAGTACCTAATTTGTAACAATGACATACAATAAATTACATTTCATAACTTATAGTATGCATGAGTAAATACCTGGTTATCAGATAAATTTTTTCACCTAACCAGTAATCTTTCCCAACAGTAAAACAAAATACTGGCATTTGTAAATTCCTTATTCTATAACCACAAAGCTATAAAACAAGACACCTAATTCAAAACTTTAAAAATGTTAAGCCATACTAAAATGTATTCAGGTATTACAAATCTATAAAAAGCAAATTTTAAAAAATCTATAAAAAGCAGAGGATGATGACTGACAGGCTTATGTTAAGATAAGGGAATGAAGGCAAAAAAGGTTTCAATTATTTGTGAGAGAGGACAATTTGAGGCAGAAACAAAACAGCATTCATGATTTCAATATATGGCACTACTGCTTGTGCTCCATTATACTAAATCAGTTTTAAAAACTGTCTAATTTTGAAAATGTCTAAAAAATTATGATTCAAGATTATTCCTCATTTTTCAACCCATTATCCAGACAAAGGAAGCACAATTTCTTCCAATACTTCTTCTCCCCGTCTGTCATCTGAACGGGTAGAAGTCATAATCTGGAGGTAAATCAAGTCTAACTGGCCCACTTTACCTCTTCATGCAAATTCCATGGGGACAGATAAAGTTGGAAAATGACACAAGGCACAGAATCCTCTATATACAACTAACCATTAGTTGAACACAAAGCCACTTTGTTTAACCAGTCATTCCTCTCAATAAAATACAAAGGAACTATTACGTATTTTAAGCGTGATTTTTAAAAACTTTTTAAAAATTTGACACTCAAACAACTTAAAAAAGTGCTATCCTTTAAGTCAATAAGAAGCAGACTTCAACTAATGGAAGGACAAAAATCAGTAGATGCTAAGGACTTTTATACTTTTTTTTTTTTTTTTTTGAGACCAAGTCTGTTGCCCAGCCTAGACAGAAATCTGTTGTCTCCAGTTCTGTTGCCCAAGCTGGAATGCAGTAGCATAATCTTGGCTCACTACAGCCTCAACCTCCTGGGGTTGAAGTGATCCTCACGCCTCAGCCTCCCGAGTAGCTGGGATTACAGGTGTGTGCCACCACATCTGGCTAATTTTTTATTATTTGTAGAGATGGGGTCTCGCTAGATTGCCTAGGGTAGTCTTGAACTCCTGGGCTCAAGTGATCCTCATGCCTTGACCTCCCAAAGTGCTGGGATTACAGGTGTGAGACATCACGCCTGGCTGACTTTTACACTTTGAGAAGAAAGGGAAATTATAAAATCCGTCTTATGTCTTGGGATTGTGTGTAGAACACAAGAAAGTAAAGAACAAGATAACTACTGGGATTCTTCCATTTCTCTGTTCCATGATTTTCTAGAAACAGTGAAGACTGTGTAGTGTTCTAGCGCAGAACAGAGTGAAGGATGCGATGGCTACCAGAGGTTCTTCACTCCCTCTTTTCATGATTTTCTAGATACAACTAATTAAGAGCCATGAATGTTCCTCACCATATGCTTACTTTCTCCCACCTATAGATTGCAAAAGTTATATAGGTTATATAAATTATTAAATATACTAGCACACAACTGTCATCTGGTAGTGTTTGGCAGGTGTCCAGTGTACTGCAAGCTGGGTTTAGAATCAGATAGAATGGATATGAATATTTACCATTTATCATTCTATGCCTTCAGTTGTATGCAAAAGTGACTAGCACAGTATATGGAATATACTTGGTGCTCAATAAATGTAACCTTCCCTCTAATAATAGACTAAGCAGCCAGTATATCCTATAGCTTAATATACTTACAGCTAGATTGGTGAATATTTAATTTCTTGTGAGAATGGAAAACATCATTATTTGCATGATACTCTGAGAATTTCAGTGCTGTAATATCTGCTAATATTTATCTAAACAGTTATTAGCACAAATCAAGAGTTTTCAAAATGCATTTATAGCAGATATGTCTATCATAAAGAAGGCATTTGAAACAGAGTAATGGGAGCAAGCATTTACTGGGTAACTACTGCATGTTAGGTTCAGTATTAGACACTCTCTACATATTATCTCATATAATCACATGGTAACATACAGAAATAATCAGGATCTCCAAAGTACTTTAGTTCCTCAAAGCAGATAACAGAATCATACTAGATAGTAAATCTAGCACATAATGTATTTATTCCTTCACTTAGCAATTAATTAACTTTAGTAAGTACTAAAGAGAAAAGCACTTTTTTCCTATAAATGCAACATAGAAATGAAAATAGGTAATAAATATTCTCCTTTACGGAGTAGAAAATAATCATTTAAGCAACAAAATAAAAAATGAACTCACAGTGTAAATCCTCTGGAAATCACTTCGGTTTCTTGAATGAGACGTAAAGCTTTTCTCACAAGGTTAGTAAAAGCTCGGCTGTTTGTGGCCATATCTTCCAAATGAATACTGTATTTTTTTAGGGTCACTTGTAGTTTGGCTGTCCTCCATAATCTCAAAGCTCTTATGACCAGATACACAAATAGAATAACTCCCCATACCAGCCAGGAAGACACAATCCACCAAGTAGGAAGCATAATGAGCAAGCTAATGAAGGCAAATAGCATTGAGAGATCCCTGGGAACAAGAAAGTAAGAAAATGATATGCATCAGATTAGAGAAAGAAAGATGAGTTACTTTAATCAGTAAAAACAAAACTTAAATTTAGGTTTACTAAACAAATAAAATGCTAGTTTCCTTGTAACGCATAACTTAAAAAAATATGACATTTAAGAAGGTGATGTGAAAGATTTTCAAAATACCTCGCAACTAGATAATAGTGCTTAGGTATTAACGTCCGAGCTGATAAGTTTAGGTAAGAAAACAGGTGTCTTCTGGAATCACATAAAGCTGATTTCACAAAAGAAACTCAAAATTATCTGTAGGTGGTGACTGAATGCTGGGCAGAACCAACAAAAGGCCTCTACACTTCCTACATATACAGAATCTGGAGCTAGAAATACCACCTGTTGCCTGCAGGATAAAATCAAACTTCATTAGCTCAGTCTACAAAATCCTTCAGAAGTTGGCCCAGGTCACGTCTTGAGTCAGATCAGCATCCCAGCCCTCAACTCCAAGCATTGTAAACCAGAAAATCTCTTCCTTCTCTTTCCTTTTTGCCTGGTGTCATCTTATATTTAATACCACAATCCTATTCGTTCAAACCTTCCTCTGACACCAAGTCTTCTGTGAAGATTTTACCAAAAGTTTGAAACAGTTACTTTTAATTTGAGCCAACCCCTCTTCTGTGACCCCAAAGAAATTGCTACATTTCTCTTTATGACATTAATAAAAATGATAATAAATATAACAATAGGCATCTTCTGAAACCACTTTTTAAAAAATATAACATATGGAATCCTTAACCTAAAAAGCAAATTAGAGATTTTAAAATACAATTTTATAGATTTAAAAGTAAAAATACTATTTCAGAGATATTATAAATACCTTTTCCTAAAATCAAACTTTATTTGCATAGAAACACATACTATATCAACATGTACACATTTTTCCAATTAGAAATGATACACACTTGATGAGTAATTGTTTGAATAAAGTCCTCTAATTTTAAATAATCATCATCATTAATTTGGAATATACATACTTACACACAGACCATGATATGGACAAGGTTTGTACTTTTATACCGCTTTAATTGAAATAAAAATATGCACACATTTTTAAATTCGTATCAATTACAAGTCTAACAGACTAAAATACGTCTTTAAAGCAATGAATGCTTTGGTGAAAATGTGTATATATAAGAAAGAGGGGGCCAGGCACAGTGGCTCATGCCTGTAATCTCAGCACTTTGAGAGGCACAGGTGGGAGGACCACTTGAGCCCAGGAGTTCGAGACCAGCCTGGGCAACACAGTGGGACCCCTTCTCTACAAAAAATTAAAAAATTAGCTGGGTGTGGTGGCATGTACCCGTAGTCCCAGCTATACAGGAGGCTGAGGTGGAAGGATCACTTGAGCAGGCTGCAGCAAGCCGAGATCACGCCACTGCACTCCAGCCTGGGTGACAAAGCAGGACCTTGTCTCACCAAAAAAAAAAAAAAAAGAAAAGAAAGAGGGGAGTATAAGGGGGATGTGTCTGAGAATATCTGAAAAACATCAGCAATATTTGAAAAGAGTTATAATCATATTGCAAAGAAAATCACACACAATTTCTTATTAATATTTGCCCTGGCCAGGTGCAGGGCTCGCACCTGTAATCCCAGCACTTTGGGAGGCTAAGGCAGGCAGATCACTTGAGTACAGGAGTTCAAGACCAGCCTGGGCAACATGGCAAAACCCTGTCTCTGCAAAAACCACAAAAATTAGCCAGCTGTGGTGGCATGCTCCTATAGTACCAGGTACTTAGGAGGCTAGGGTGGGAGGATCACTTGAGTCTAGCAGGCCGAGGCTGCAGTGAGCCAACATCACACCACTGTGCTCCAGCCTAAGGAACAGAGTGAGACCATGTCTCAAAAAATAAGTAAATAAATAAATAAATATTTGCCCTAATTTCCTTTAGAATCCTTTACTTTTTAGATAATACTGGTAATACCATAAAGCAAAATCTCATCATATATTTTTATATATTAATAGTAAACTCTAAAATCATTTATAGGTCTCATAGTTGCCTGGTTATATTTGTGGGTAAAGGAAACTTAGTAAAGTAGCAAATTCTTAAAAACCTATAGTTCCTTCTATCAGCTCCTTAAATTCTCATATTTTTGAAGGATAAGATGCTTCACTTCTTCATGATCATATCTGAGTGACTGGAGAGTGAAGCATTTGTCAGTGTGACAGGGAAGACATAAATACAGAACCTTAAGGCCAATGAATGTAACTGCCTATATAACTTGAACAGTTTGAGCAGTGATTTAGTGTACTTCTTGATTCATTCCTCCCTTCTATGCCAAATTTAATAAAGTACTTTAATAGGAAGAAGAAATCAATAATTCTTTATATATAATCCCTTTTTGCTACACATTCTTTTTTTTTCTTTTAACAGATTATTGCATGGGACTTCTGCTCTAGACCCAAATAGTTCAAGAGGTTGAAAAGTTTTAGGATGGTCTGAATCATCAAATCATGTTCCCTGTTATCTTTTCTCAGCCAACACAGCCAGAATCAACTGCCTACCTCCATGTCCCATCCTATTCTTGGTGTCTCTACAATATAGTTATGATAAAACCTATTATAAAGAAACATAAAGAAGGATAGGCTTGCATGCACATATGTGCATAGGTGTATGAGTAAAATAAATTCTTTTTTATTCCCCTTAGAGACAGGGTCTCGCTTTGTTGCTCAGGCTGGAGTGCAGTGGTGTGATCATGACTCACTGCACTCTGCAACTGCTGGGCTCAAGCAATCCTTCCACATCAGTATCTTAAGGAGCTAGGTCTACAGACATATGCCACCATACGCGAACACATTTTTTTATGTTTTGTAGAGATGGGGTTTTGCTATGTTGCCCAAGCTGGTCTCAAACTCTTGGCCTTAAGCAATCCTACCACTTCAGCCTCCCAAAGTGTTGGGATTACAGGCATAAACCACTACACCTGGCAGAGTAACTTTTTGGCACTTGTTATACCCATTTGCTAGGTTGCTGGACACAGAACTAATTTTAGTGAGTTGGAAGTATATAATAACCAAATTGGATTTTTTTCCCTAGCTTCACTTTAAATGGTATTTATTTTAGAAAGGTACTTCCCCCCCCATATTGTTACTTTAATTGTACTGCTAAATGTATAGAATGTTTATGCCTTTACAATGGAGAGCATGAGGATGGGTTTCCTCTGCTAATACTCTATATGTAAGCAGTCAAAGAATAGGTGTTTTCTCGACAGTACCAAATATTAGGGGTTGCCAGGGAGCAAAGTGTTGGAAGGTGTCCATTTTCCTGTTGTTGAGATTGCCCTGCAGACAGGATACTGGGATCAAGTAGCTCAATCAGCTCCACATCCTCTTGTAACAGGACTTCCTGTTGCAGGATGGTATGTAATGAGTCGAGTCGGAATCCAATATCCTTGCCATTAAAATACCAGAAGAGAGGTATTAACACATATATAATATTGCATTAAACGCTAAACTCCTAATGTACTAATAAAATTTAGTGGTGTTTATTTTCAGAAGATACTTCAAGAAGAAACAACAGTCCAATCTACCTTCAGTATGATAGATGAGTTTTATTTTCACTGTAAATGTGAAACAATAAAGATTGAGGTAGACATTACTGAGCCATCAGATGTAAAATATAAATTTTTAATAACAAGATGAAAAGTAATTACAGATTAACAAACCTGTCTAGTTAAGCCTAATTGATTAAATTGCTAGGGCACAACATGGAAAATATAATCCTATAACATTAAAGATGCTGTCCCTGAAGCTGTAACAATACAGTCAATATTTAAGAATTTTATTAGCAGGATCAAGGCCTCCTAAAAATGGATATTCAGATATTTAAAAATATACTATTAAGGAATGCAATGTAAAATCACACTAACATTTGCATAGCATTTTATAGTTTACAAAACGCCTTCACATATACCAGCTCATTTATTTCTCCCTCTCTTCTTTCTATTCACCTATCAAGGAATACCTTCCATAAGCCAGGCACCAGGTTTGACACAGAAGACACAAAATGAACAAGATATATTCTTAAAGAGTTCATAGTTTAATGAAGAGACCCGAAAAGTAAACAGTTGCAATATAACATGCAAAGGAGCGTGATGAAATACACCTAGAGTACTATGAAAATGGCATAGAGGGACCAAGCCTGTAATGAAGTCAGAGAAAGTAAAAGAGGTGAAGCCTGAGCTAAGTTTTAAAGGATGAACAAGAATTAACCAAAGGAGTTGGAGAAGTGGGACGGTACAGGATAAAAGCCTTTCTAATTTAGGGAACTGTGAGTTGTCGGTACTAGATGATATTATTAATAGATTGTGCACAGAGCGCACATGGTAGAGAGGTGAGAAATGAGGTAGCACTCTTAGGGCTGACAGGTGAATTCTCACGGTAACCCTGTGATGTACCTTATCATCCTCCTCTCCATTATATAGGGAAGAACACCAAAGCCCAAAGAAATTAAGTAACTTTCCAGAATTTTGATTTCAAATCCTACGCATTTGGTAGTTGTGTTTCCCTGCACATAGTCTGCCTCCAAAGAAAATTTAAAGTTGTATTTTGCATTAAATTTAAACAAATAGAGGCCAAGTGCAGTGGCTCACGCCTGTAGTCCCAGCACTTTGGGAGGCCAAGGCAGGCAGATCACCTGAGGTCAGGAATTCGAGACCAGCCTGGCCAATATGGTGAAATCCCATCTCTACTAACATACAAAAATTAGCTGGGCATGGTGGCACATGCCTGTAATCCCGGCTACTCAGGAAGCTGAGGCAGGACAATCTCCTGAACCCAGGAGGCGGAGGTTGCAGTAAGCCGAGATTGTGCCACTGCACTACAACCTGGGTGACAGAGCAAGATTCTGTCTCAAAAATAAATAAATAAATAAATAATTAAAAAACCAAAACCAAACAAACAAATTTAGGACTAGAGTGCTCCTACTATATGATAAAAATAAAGAGAACGATGGACAAGGCCATTCATTAGCAATTAAAGTAAAACCCACTAGCTCTACGGTGTGAAGGCAACAGGTTTGCTCTTAGTTAATTTAATCATTCCCACACCACACATTCCAGCCCTAGCTGATCATAATGAGGACTTCAGTAAGAATGTGGTGAACCATATATCAAACTGAGCCCATGACCTCTTGATCAGGGTTATATGCCACTTTTAGAGAATAAGATTTTTAATATTAGGTGCATTTAGATATATTTTATTTATCTTCAGTCCAAAAAGAGAGCATCTTCTCAAAGGAATGTTGATCTTTCTTTTAGCCTGATGTGGCTTTTTTTTTTTTTTTACCATCTACTGACACACTCTGTATGTACCTCTGCAGCACTTTTATGTTTCATATTGGAACAATTGCCTCTTTTCTCTTCCTACAATTCCGATCCTAACATTAGGAACCACTTAATTTGACATCCCACCCCACTTTCACAAAGACAGAGCAACACAATTCCCTTTATACTATTGTTCAGAGGGGAGAAAAAAGGAGCGCAGGAGATGGGGCATGGTAGCTTTTCGAGTAATCTCTGAAATTGATCTTACTATTTGGTTCCCCAATTAGACACAGCCATATTCAATGCAAGTATTAAAAATCAAACTTTTGCTACAAAAGCTTTAAACCATACCTTTTATGAGACTTCTATGTACATATATATAAGGTAACTTTGAAGAAGCCTAACTAGTTGAAGGCCAAGGCTGACAGAGACTGGAAAAGCCAGTAATATTCAACGGGAGTGCTCTCTCTTTACAGACACTCGGCGTAATCAGTTATTCACTTTCTTTAACACCATTCCCTGGCATCAGACTTACGTGTAAAACTGGGATAACACCTCCCCAAAACCAACATGCTTAGAGGAAGTATTAACAGCTTTAGGAATATCTGATTTAAGAATGTGACAAACCGACTGGGCACGGTGGCTCACCCCTATAATCCCAGCACTTTGGGAGGTTAAGGCGGGCAGATTACTTGATGCCAGGAGTTCAAGACCAGCATATTAGCCAGGTTGGGTGGTGTGCACCTGTAGTCTCAGCTACTTATAAGGTTGAGGCACAAGAATTGCTTGAGCCTGGGAGGCAGAGGTTGTAGTGAGCCAGGATGGTGCCACTGTACTGCAGCCTGAACAGTAGAATGAGACTCAGTCTCCACAAAAAAAAAAAAAAAAGTGATCAACCAACAACCTACAATCATCTATGCATACAAATGAACTTGAAAGGCACCAAGACACTCCAAATAACTAAAACAGTGTTATCTTAGTGATTAGATTGCCTCATATAGAGGAAAAACTTGAACTACATTCTGATTACTATAGCTGTTTAAATTGAATCAGATTAATGAATTAAGTATCTTTCTTAAGGATAAAATGTAAAATTATATATTACTCTTTGATTACAAAAAATAAGAACTGCAGAAAACATGTTAACCGTGTTACAATGTAACAATCAAAGTACCAGAAAAATTGACACCTGCAAATTAAGAAACATGTCATGACAGTCCTATTTGGACTGGGAAGCCCAGATCCAGGTCTCAAACAAATGAAGAAACTGAAAAGGTGCTAATTCTGATCGATTTAAGTATTAGCAGGTATCACCGGCATGGCTGGAGGCTCTATGCTCCTGGGATGTGTACTACGTAAACTCTGGCACATTTTCAACAAGTCTGAGTGCCAAGACTTAGTGTCTAGCTTTATATTCTTGCTCCACAACTTAAGCATGTTAATAGGCTCTCTGTGCCAGTTTCCTCTTTGGCAAAATTGGGATAATAACAGTAGCTACTTCATAGGGTTGTTACGAGGACTAAATAAGTCAATATCTATAAAATACCAAGAGGAGTGTTTGGCTCATAGTAAGCACTGTATGTTAGCCATTACTGTTGTCACTATCTATGCAATAATTAAAACAATAAAGAAAAGCACATGTTGGATATATTACAATATAAAAACTTATAGAACACAACATAATTATTACCAGGTTGATGCAGAAAATAAGAGATACAATAGGCTGAAGTTTTGGGAAAACTTTGAGAAAAAGCTAGGAGTGCTTATTGAAAGATTCCATTGGATCAAGAAAAAAAAAAACAAAAAACCAGAAAGAATTCCATCACAGTATAAAAGCACAAACACAGACATACAGAGTAAGTATGGAATAAAGGAAAATGAAGACTGGGTTCATTGATACAAATACTGGTGGACAAAGCTGGAAAGGTAGGTTAGGGCCAAATTATGCAGACTCTTTAGTACTGACGTGACAAATTTGGACTTGATTTGATTGACGAAGATCTTTCTAGAATCTAAATAGGGAAGTGGCATGAGAAAGTACTTAGGAATTCCTTTCTGCCTGGATGAAATGAAAGGTTATGAGAAGGCACAGATAAAAAATTAAGAGATTTTGATTTCTTTTTCCTTAGGGATGGAGAAGGAAACTTATTCATGTGTCAGTATTCTTTAAAGATCTTAATCACTGTGGAATATCATGGGGCTTTTGATATACGGATCAAATGAGATAACATGTGTGAAGGCACTTTATAGGCTAAAAAGCACTTAAAAAGTGCTATTACTACTACCATCAAGGATTTTTTTAATTCTTAAGAAAAATACTATAAAAATGAACAATAGTAAAATGTTCAGATATCACAGAGTAATTGCCAGTATTCTTATAAAAGAAATGAGGGCCTGCTTCAATATCTTCAAGAAAGATCAGCATTCCATTGAGATACTCTCTTTACTGAAGATAAATAAAATATATCTAAATGCACCTAATATTAAAAATCTTATTCTCTAAAAGTGGCATATAACCCTGATCAAGAGGACATGGGCTTAGTTTGATATATGGTTCACCACATTCTTACTGAAGTCCTCATTATATAGCTAACAACATTTTAAATATGTCACAATCAAGGGGAAAAAGTCAAGCAATCTCACACCAAAAGCCAACCTGGCAATTTCTTATTCCATTACTAGTAAACTATTCCTTAGGTATGTATTCTTATAGTTCTCCATAATGTAGGCACAAAAGGGATGCATACAGAAGCTGGCACTTTATAGTGAAACATCACATGAAACATGTGGCCAGTGACACAGAATCAGGAATGAAAAGACCAGGCCTAGGCAGACTATGACTAAATCACAGAAAAATGTATATGGATCCGTATACCTTACCACAGTCCTAGTATCACTGAAGAATGAGATGGCTCCACCTGGATAAAAATGACATTCTATGTAGACGATAAGACACTTCATTGACCTTCTCAACACACCTTCAACAAAGATGAAACCCTGAACAAAGAACTTGACAATTTGGATTGCTAAAAAAGTAATTTTAGTCAGTCAAAAAATAATAATACTTGAGCTAGAGAGGTCGTATGCTATAGCAGAAAGAGCATGGCTTTGGATCCAAGAGACCTGGATTCAAATTCTGGCTCTATCACTTTCTAGCTGAACATTTTTAGACAATTCACTAAGTTATTAAAACAAAACTGAATTGTCTGAACCTTGGTTTTCTCATTAGTGAAGTAGACTAAATCTTATAGTGTTGTTTAGATTACCAAATCAAAATGTGAAAGCACTTTGTAAACAATCTCTTTACAAATGTTAATGTACAAGAATGATAATTCTTAAGGTCACAGGCCAGCAGAGATCCTGAAACCTGCTTACTTGTAACTACATTACTCCTTTACTCCTTCTGGGAGCCATGAGAATCACATAACTTGAATTTTTAGGCTATACTCCCTGGATTTTGTATTGTTAGGATGTCAGAAGGTTGAATTATTTCCCCTTTGGAGTTCTGTTACAGCAGAGAGTAGAAAAAAACAAAACCTCACAAAAATCACAAAGACCTTTCAGGTTGACTGTTTAGAGTCTTTGGGAAATTCTGTGATTTAACAGATTAAATTGATCCCACTAATGACATATTCCTTCACCTATAGAGAGGAATACCTGTCAATGGAGGAAGAGGGCAATAGTAAATTCACGATCTAACAAAGTTTCAATAACTATCAGAATATTCCATTCTGAGTGGCTAATAACCTCTTTAAAAGCTATAAATAATGCAAGTAAGCCCAAATTAAAAGATCCTGAGTTACTGCAGAATCTCTAGTAAAAATCAATCACTGCCCAAATTGATAGCAAAACAAATTCTGATTCACCAATTCTTTCACTAATAACCTAGAACCCTGAAAAGTGGCAAAAAGAAGTGACCACTTACCAACTTGTGAAGTAAGTCATCTTTCTTATTGCACTGAGAAAAAAAAATCCAACTTTTGATGGTTTCAGCCACTTTTAACAGGATACCTTGCTGAAGGAGACGAATGACATGGTATAAGATCATTAAAGCATACCCAAACAGCAGAAAAACTTCCAGTTACTTACCTCCAATCAATGAGAATTTTTATCAGAAAAGGGAGAAAAAAATTGTCCAGGTTATATACTTTGTCAATATGTCTCAGCCTCCTTATTAGTGCTTAAATTTTGTTGCATATCAGGATCACCTGGAGATTTTAGTTAGAAACATATTCTCAGGCCCCCAAACTAAAGATTGTGATTCGATACATTTGGATTGAGGCCTGAAAATCCGATTTTTACAGAACAGGTAGAAGTCATTCTGAAGCAGCCCATTTATCCTGGGAAGACTATGTACTATATCAACATGATGATAGTATTTATTTCAGAAAGAAAAATCTTTTTCTTTTTGAGAACCTGGTTACAAGTTCTCAAATATTAAGACCATTTCATTCCACAATACTAAGTCAAAAAGATACTTTGACCATTTTAGAAAAACTATCATATATTGATAAAAAAGTTTTACTACTGAATCAACCAAAAATTCAATTTACCTTAATAGCCCATTCCTTGAGCATGCCAGTAAGTGCAGTTTATATTCATTGAGTGATTACTATATCCCAGGTACTGCAAAGGGTCATGGGAAAAAAGATAAATACATGTAACTGTTGTTTTCAAGAACTTAGTATAGAAGAAGAGACAATATACAGAATTACAATCAATGTAAAGTCTGAAAAAGTATTGGAAAAGAAGAGGTCAGAGAGGAGCTAACACTGGAGCTCAGTCCTAATGGATGAGTAGGAATTCAACAAAGAAAGGAAGAACGGGCTGGGCGCGGTGGCTCATGCCTGTAATCCCAGCACTTTGGGAGGCCGAGGCGGGCAGATCACCTGAGGTCGGGGGTTCAAGACCAGCCTGACCAACATGGAGAAACCCCGTCTCTATGAAAAATACAAAATTAGCCAGGCATGGTGATGCATGCCTGTAATCCCAGCTACTCAGGAGGCTGAGGCAGGAGAATTATTTGAACCCAGGAGGCGGAGGTTGTGGTGAGCCGAGATCACGCCATTGCACTCCAGCCTGGGCTACAAGAGCGAAACTGCGTCTCAAAAAAAAAAAAAAAAGAGAGAAGAATACTTCAGTCAAGGGAAGAAGATGAAGGAAAGAGCCATGAAAACACATGCCACAGGGATGGTGGCGCACGCCAGGACAGTTATGACCCAAGGGAAGAAGGAATTAGTAAGGAAGTTAAAAAGGTACACTGAGACAGGTTTTAAAGGATCTTAGTCTTATACACTATAATAGTATGAACATTATCCTGTAGGTCGTGAGGAGCTACAAAAGATTTTTATGCAAGGAAGCGAAACAATAAAGAAAAATAATTGGCAATAGTGCAGAGGCTAAACTGGCAGGGAATGATTGTAGACAAGAAGCATGAGTAAGAGGATATTCAAGGCTGGGGGCGGTGGCTCCTGCCTGTAATCCCAGCACTTTGGGAGGTCGAGGTGGGTGGATCATGAGGTCAGGAGTTCGAGACCAACCTGGCCAACATAGTGAAACCCTGTCTCTACTGAAAATACAAAAAATTAGCTGGGCGTGGTGGCGGGCACCTGTAATCCCAGCTACTCAGGAGGCTGAGGCAGGAGAATCGCTTGAACCCAGGAGGCAGAGGTTGCAGTTAGCTGAGATCGCACCACTGCACTCCAGCCTGGGCTACAGTGCGAGACTCCATCTCAAAAAATTAAAAAAAAAAAAATTAATAACCCAGCTAAATAACAATAAAGGCCTTTAAATTAGGTAATGAGTACAAAAATGATCATGAATAAGAGTTAAAGAGACATAGAAGCTGACCTGATGTATCACTTGATGACCAAGGCTATGTCAGCACGATTGGAAATGGTATGGTAACTGAGAGTATGGTGATTTGGGACTATTTAAAAGAACATTTTTTGTTTGTTTGTTTTGGGGGTATCTGAGAGGGTGGTGATTTTGGACTATTAAAAAGAATATTTTTTAGCTTGTTTGTTTTGGGGGTGTCTGAGGAAGCCCTATTTTAGACAAGCTGAATCTGAGCTTTGTGAGGCACATGCAGATGAAAATGTCTAAGAAGCAACTGGAACTCAGCAAAGACTGAAGAACGGACATAAGTGGCAAGAAAGTAGATGAGATCCCCAGAGAAGACACCAAGCCAACAAGAAGCCTGCTGCTAAAACTCTACGGAATGAATTTAAGAATAATCATAGGAAAAGAAACCAGAAAAAGAGACAGAATGAATATTTATAGTAAGAATATCAGGGCAGACTACTTAACAACTACTAATAAGCATATGCAAAAGTAAAGTTAAAAAAGAGGCTAAGGATGGTTTCATTAAGAACTCATAGAAAAATAGCTTTTCAGAGGAAATAATTGATACTTCATTCCTTGAAAAGAATTTTGGGAGCAATTGTAAACATACATTCCCTGACAATGAGCTAAACAATACAACAAGTTTTCTAAAATTTAGCTCTCCCCAAATTAGGAAAAAAATTGGTCGGGCACGGTTGCTCACTCCTGTAATCCCAGCAGTTTGGGAGGCTGAGGTAGGCAGATCACTTGAGGTTGGGAGTTCAAGACCAGCCTGGCCAACATGGTAAGACCCTGTCTCTACTAAAAATACAAAACTTGGCTGGGCGTGGTGGCCTGTGCCTATAATCCCAGCTACTTGGGAAGCTGAGGCAGAATTACTTGAACCTGGGAGATGGATGTTGCAGTGAGCCAAGATCGTATCACTGCACTCCAGCCTGGGCGAGAGTGAGACTCCGTCTCAAAAACAAAAACAAAACAAAACAAAACAAAACACACAAAAAAAGGAAAAAACTTCATTTTAGAAAAACATAGATCCTACAGTTAAAAACTTGTCTTAGAAATGTGCAATATGGCTGGGTGTGGTGGCTCACACCTGTAAGGCCAAGGTAGGAGGATTGCTTGAAGTCAGGAGTTTGAGACCAACCTGGGCAACACAGTGAGTGGCAATTTTTAAATCTCTACAAAAAATAAAGAACAAAATTAGCTGGGCATGGTGGCACATGTCTGTGGTCCCAGGTACGTGGGAGGCAGAGGTGGGAGGATCACTTGAACCCAGAAAGTGAAGGCTGCAGTGAATTGTAATCATACCACTACACTCCAGCCTGGGTGATAGGGGAAGACCCCATCTCAAATACATACATACATACATACATACATACATACATACATAAAATGAAGACAAAACAAACTTTCTAGACATACGATAATTTTTTTGAGACAGGGTCTTGCTATGTTGCCCTGGCGGGTCTCCAACACCTGGGCTCAAGTGGTCCTTCCGCCTTGGCCTCCCAAAGTGCTGGGATTATAGACATGAGCCTTTGTGCCCAGCCTGGTAATTTTTTAAAACAACCTCTGGCTATGCTTTTTATTGTTCCTCAATTTCTGAGGGGATTCAATTTTAAACTCTCACTTGACTTATTTATAAACTAGCAACAACATTTCTAAATATAAAAATACTTGTCATAAATGACAATAATACCCATAAAACCCAAGTTTGTATCAAAACAAAACAAAACAAAAAATTAGAGGTAAATGACCATCTGCTGCTCTAAGACTATCCCCTGGCCATTCTTTGTTTTGTGTTGCCAAGTAACCTCAAATCCAAGCTTATTAAATAGCCTATTATATACAAACCCCTTCCCAGGAACATTTATACTTAAAAAGGGCACAGGGAAGAAATGGTATCAATGGAGGACTAGGAAAACTGGTTCTGATCCATGCGAACTCTAATTCTAACTCTCACCTTCTGGGTGTTAGTCGAAAAATTCTCTAGTGTTTACTTGGCTGTTACAAATGGGCCAGCTTGGTTACCTTACATTTTAGGTGTCTTTGTAAGAAGATTGGGGAAAGGATCCTTATGCCAATCCATACTTTCCCTGTAAATGACTAATTGAAAGCTTTACATGCTCTTCTCAATAGTGATAAAACCCTGATTAAACTAGAATGCTCAAGGAATGAGGAAATTTGGTTATACTTTTTCTATTAAATTACAATTCCTTTGGTTAAAAATAAAATGTAGTACACAGGTACACAGAGGTTAAGAACATAAACTCTGGGAGTAAACTACAGGTTCTAATCCCAACTCCACCTCTTACAAGCTAAGTAATCTATGATAATTTATAATCCTCCTATGCTTCAACTGTCTCACCTAAAAACAGAGTAAATATTTTTATTTTTTTATTTTTTGAGACGGAGTTTTGCTCTTGCTGCCCAGGCTGGAGTGCAATGGCATGATCTCGGTTCACTGCCACCTCCGCCTCCCAGGTTCAAGCGATTCTCCTGCCTCAGCCTCCTGAGTAGCTGGGATTACAGGCGCCCGCCACCACGCCCAGATAATTTTTCTATTTTTAGTAGAGACAGGATTTCACCATGTTGGCCAGGCTGGTCTCAAACTCCTGACCTCAGGTGATCCACCCGCCTTGGCCTCCCAAAGTGCTGGGATTACAGGCATGAGCCACCGCGCCTGGACCATAAATTTCTTATCTTAGTAAACATGGCTAGCAGGACATAAATGAATCTAGAAAATGCATTTTGTACAACATAATTAATGGAGATTTTTCTAGTATCTCAGCTTCACAATGCTGGACATCGACTATGAGATATTTACTGTATAAATGTATTTAATTCTATAGATTAAAAAAGGTACCAGAAGTTATACTCACTCCATTATATACCCCTGAAACTGTGTTTAAGAAATGTCAATTTGCTTTCTTGTAATTCATACTTTGGAAAAAAAAAAAAAAGATTTAAAGAGAAAAAATCCAGTGAGTAGAGGATTCCTATTAGTTGTGCTCTCATTAAAGTTTTAGTATATTTTTTCCGGTTCTGTTTGGAGAGCATCAATATTTAAATAAGTAATGTATTTTAATTCTCTACCAAATTATTTCCTCACTGGATATAAATTACCTACAAAATATTCCAAAGCAGTAAGGATTCATGTTTATCTAAAAAGAAAGTTTTGTACTATTGATGAAATAAATAGTCTTACCAGTGTGAGGGAGGATATGGAAGTGCTTAAGAAGTATCTAAATAGCCAGTAAGGTAAAGTGCAAAAGATTCAGCCAGAAAGAATGAGCATGCTTTCTTACTTTTGGTAGGACTCTTGTAGGAGGCTTTTGTTGTCCCTCTGTTGTGCATTTTTCTGTTTTTGGTGACAAAGAAGAACATATTTCAAAGTCTGTGTGTCCCAGATCCTGTAAGTATTGGTAAAGTGGAGAATTCTGAAAAATACATAAAATAAAGCATATTTCAAGATCATTACTATTTCAGAAGTTTCGGAGGCCAAACTTAATACCAGACCTTCACTATTGTAACCAGTATGTCCAAATTCTTTAAGGTTTCTTCTATAAGAACTGAATTATCTGTTATAATACAATGCCATTTAACACAAACAAATCAACAAACAATTCAACAGAGGAATCCAAAAAAGGAAAAACTCTAAATAAAACACACAGATTTCTTTTTGAGTGAGTACCAGCAAGAAAAAATGAATTTAGAAATGTAAATAGATTGTTAAGCAATTTCATTGCCCCAATTGTTAACAGTCTTAGAGTAAACTGCTTCAGAATAGCCAATGTTAGTTACAGATAACTCAAATGACAATGTTATTACTCAAAGCCAAGAATACTTAAACAATGATTACATTGTATGAATTATAATTTTTTTATCATCCCATCATATTTCTTAATTCATTCAAGCACAAATACCTATTATCTACCATATGCTCAGCACTGTGAACAAACTTAAAACTCTTCAAGAATGTTACCTTAGATAAGCTATATCTCACATACGAGCATATGACAAATAGGACACAGTATGGCTAACAAAAGCATTAGAACATAGAGGTTAAGAATACAATCTGCTGGGCGCACTGGCTCACGCCTGTAATCCCAGCACTTTGGGAGGACAAGGTGGGTGGATCATCTGAGGTGAGGAGTTTCAGACCAGCCTGGCCAACGTGGTGAAACCCTGACTCTACCAAAAATATAAAAATTAGCCAAGCATGTGCCTGTAATCCCAGCTACTCAGGAGGCTAAGGCAGGAGAATCGCTTGAACCCAGGAGGCAGAGGTTGCAGTGAGCCGAGATCACACCACTGCACTCCAGCCTGGGTGACAACAGCAAAACTCCGTCTCAAAACAAACAAAAACCAATCTACAGATTCAAATCCCAACTCTGCCTCTTACTAGCTAAGTAACCGGGAAATGTATAATCCTTTTATGCATCAGCTGTCTCATCTAAAAATAGCAGTAACAGCACTTAGTTCATAGAGTTCTTATGAAAATTAAATTAATATAAGGCAGCTGGAACAGTCCTTGCCACATAGTAAGCGCTCCATTTATACTTTTAACTATATATAAGCTATGTGGAAAGAGCACAGATTTTTGGAACAGACCCAAAAAAAAAACCACCCCAACTCTATTGAACAGAAATATCAATGTCACTACTGGATGAAAATCTACTGGACAACTATTTCTGAACAGCAAGCTTTAATTTTAACTTTCAACCTTCTCTAAAGCATACAGTTGGTGACATGTTTAAAAATAAATCTTGGCTGGGCGCAGTGGCTCACACCTGTAATCCCAACACTTTGGGAGGCTGAGGCAGGCAGATTATCTGAGGTCAGGAGTTCAAGACCAGCCTGGCCAACATGGTGAAACTCTGTCTCTATTTAAAATACAAAAATTACCCGGTCTTGATGGCGGGTGCCTGTAATCTCAGCTACTCAGGAGGCTGAGGTGGGAGAATGGCTTGAACCTGGGAGGCGGAGGTTGAAGTAAGCCGAGATTACGCCATTACACTCCAGCCTGGGTGACAGAGCAAAACTCTGTCTCACAAAAATAAATAAATAAATAAATAAATAAATCTTGATTCCATTCAATGAAATATTTAAATCTCCAAAAAGACTGTAATTAGGTTTCAGAGATAAAACAACAGAAAAAAAAAAATTCTTAACTAAGTATTTTACTTTCATCTTCTAGGTTAAGGTTCACAACAATAAAAGGTATTATTATCACCATCATTATTATTTTTATTCCAATTCCACAGATGAGGAAACAGGTTCACTCAGTTAGAAAAAGCAGGATAATACTATATTACTTAAAATAAGAAACAGTCCTTTCCATGTCTATTAAGGAAGACACCAAAAAGTTACTTACAGTTCAGTACAAATACAACCGAGCAAATTAACAATGTCAGGAAAGTATTTGGATACTATGAAAACAGGAGAGATAGCTAAGATAGACCAAGACATTTAGGGAATATATTCTTGCATTCAGAAGACTGAGGAAGAGTGGGAATCTGCTGGACTGGTAGCAATTTGTGGAATAACAATTTGAGAGAACAGGAATTGAGTCAAATGCCTTTCTTTTAAGCTATGTTTAATCTCTTTTTTTAAGAAAATATTTTTTAAAAAAGTAATATAAGGAAAATATGTTTCTTATCCCTCTACCAGATTTAAAATTTCTGGCAGCACAAATGGTTAATCTTGATATCACCCATAATGTATATTCAAATATTACCTTAAATTACTGAATCTGCATTTTCAAAGTGAACTGTGAACCCCACCCTGCTCTTGCCCCAGTGGGGGCAAGAGAACAAGAATGCCAGTTCATTTGTTTGGGCTGACCTTATATACTTTAAAAAAAAACATTGTTTTTAAGGCAGTAGAACCCTTTCTTCAAATGAACTCCCATGGGGAAGAACAATAAATAAGATGGATCAAAGGGAAGTTACTCTAACTCTGGGTCAGCAGCCTTTTTCGGTAAAAGGCCAGATAGTAAATATTTCAACTCTGCAAGCCATATGGTCTCTGTCACAACTAATCAAGTCTGCTGCTGTAGTGAGAAAACAGACACAGCCAATACATAAACTAATGAGTATGGCTATGTCCCAATAAAACTTTATTTATAGACACTGAAATATGAACTTCATATAATTTTCACATGTCACAAAATATTCTTTTGATATTTTCCCTAGCTGTTTAAAAACATTTTAAAAACCTGCCATACAAAAATGGGGGTACAGGTCACAGTGGCAAATCCGGCCCAAAAACCTTAATTTGCTGACTCCTGTTCTTTTTGTTTTCTTTTTTTCTTTTTCTCTTTCTTTCTCTCTCTCTCTTTTTTTTTTTTTTTTAGATAGGGTCTCACTGTATTGTCCAGGCTGGCCTAGAACTCCTGGGCTCAGGCTGTCCTCTGGCTTCAGCCTCTTGAGTAGCTGGGACTACAGGTGCAAGCCATCATGTCCTCCTCTTCTAATAAAAGACTCAGTCAAAACCAGGAGACATATTCTTGACTGCTAAGTGTTCTCGGCAAGAGACTTAGAGAGTTGAGATGAGTACAAACTTTTTATTGAGATTATAATGCCCTTTTTTACTGCACACATAGCTAATACTCTCATCATTGACCCTAATGTCCTTTCCTTTTTCACTTTATGTCACAGATCACAAAATAACAAAATATAGTATAGATTTTTTTTTAAATGATAATCAGAAGAGAAACAAGCATATTTTGTTCTTCAAATATGTTCTGTATATAAGCTGAGGGCGCATATACATACTCAGTTCAGATCAGCATAATCTGGAACACTTGCTATTTCACATTTCACAACAGCAGCACATTAATCACTCACCTTGTATATCACAGATCATATCCAACAGTATCATGTGATACAGCAAATTCTACCAGTAGCTTATTCTGCCTTTTCTCCAAATAGAACTTCCCATTAACTTTTTGACTGGTTTCACAGGCTTCTTGTTAAAGGTGTGGCACATCCATTTGTGCTATATAACTATGAGTGATTCCTCAGTAGTTTTGGTTTCTTCCCCATCTTTAGTAACAGATCAGTTTTATCCCAGAAAGCACTGTTTTACAGTTCTGGAGAAATCTGGCTTACCAAGGTGATCACCATACTTTGTTTTATGACTGTATGTAACAAAGTATTTGACAAAGTTTCATAGAAGACAACCTTTGGAGACTGAGGTGAATGTACTGCAGGTTCAATAAAATGTAATTTCTAGTTATCTACTAGTTATATTTCATATTTGCATTTTTCTATTTTTCTATTTTCTACTAGTTATATTTCATATTTGCAGTTTCTATTTTTGGCTGTTAGTGCAAATCACATCACTTCCTAACACATGTAAACCCAGATATTGTATGAACACTATGAACACTCAAGTTCTATTCATTATGTTTACATTAATTCTTTCAAAATGTTTAGGAATAAAATTGCTATCAGTTTTTCTCTGAAACTGTCAAATAACTTGTGTATTATTTAATAGATCTCAGAAAACCATATCCTGACCAGTAGTTCTCAAATTTTTGGTCTCAGCTCTCCTTATAATCTAAAAAATTATTGAGAGCCCCAAAGAGCTTTTGTTTACATGGACATCTAATGATATCATATTAGAACTCAAAACTAAAATTTAAAAAAAAATTACCATTTTACTTGAAAATAGCAATAAACCTGTTACAATGTTAAACATATGTTTAATGAAAAAATTCTCCAAAATGAAAAAAATTCCTAGAGAAGAACAGATTGTTTTACACTTTTTGCAAATCTCTTTATTGTTTGGCTTAATAGAAAATTGCTGGATACTTATATCTGCTTCCGCATTCAATGTGTTGCAATTTATTGTTTTGGGTGAAGTATACAGAAAAATCAAGGCTTACACAAATAATATAGTTGGAAAGCCAGAAGTATTTTAAGTCTTTTCTGATCATTGTAGCATCAAAGAGGAATAGCCATACCAAAACAACAAGTAATAGTTTCAAATAGCTAAATGTTAATATAGAATATGCAACCATCTGATGAGCTTTTTGTACTCTGTACATGCACATGAGAATGGGAGTGAAAAAGGCAAATAATGTCTTATTATTAAAACCTGATCATCCAACATAAGATAATTTATTTTGACTTTTTTTTTCTTTTACAGCAAGGAGGGGCTCCCTATTGCAACTGTTCTGACCACTATATTTAGAGGTTTTGGGATATTAGGCTTATACACTAATAAATACAGGGAAATGTTTATTTTTCATAAAGTATTATATGGCAGCTTTAGAAAGGGGTGTTTTTGTGTGGTGGGTAAAGCAGAGTAGGTAGTTGTCTCTATTATGACTTTTCCTTGGTTCAAGCAAAATAAAACCACAAATGTTTTATTTAAGTTGTTTTTTTTGAAGAGAAATCATTAACACTGGACTCAAACTGTAATTTCGAAG